AAAGAACTTGTGTTACAGGTACCAGATAACGGAAATAAATGTAAGATTTTTATTATACACGTACATATATCTAATATACATCCATAACCCTGGAAAAGACATTTATATTTATCATACAAATATCTTCCCTTGGCGGGATTCGAACCCGCGACCCCCTTGTGTAGTGACCATGTCACTTACCACTACACCAGACGGCCATTTATTAAAACAAATACAACCAAATTACTGGTGTAGCAAAATACGTCAGACAAAAAGAACAGTTAATGCGGAATAGCGTTAAAATAAGATTGTTTTTTATTTACATATCTACTAATATGAAATAAACTAATAAATGAAATAAACGTTTTCTTTTTATAATTTGATTTTTTAGCTCTCCATTTAAGATCCCTCTAAGGCGCTTTAAATACACAGCCTTTTCAGTATCTTTATATAGAATTTAATACTGTATTATTATTAAGCGACATTTCAATATTGCGCAAACCGCAGTCTAGTTTTTCATTTTCTTAATTCGGAACTATGTATAAGCACAGTGTTTTTATAAAGTAGCTGAAGCATTCCACGCTTATCAATATGCCTATTTATGTTTATCGTATGTAATTATGTTATGTCAATGAAATGTAATCAATTTAATTATTTACATCAATACATTAAACCGTTTGTATGTTAACAGCGCGGCTCATTGAATACTTTTTAATGTACTTTCAAAGTTTTTCCGGCATCTATTTTTTATCTATCCACCTCTCAACCCACAGACGGCCACTGCTGGACATATGCTTACCCCAAGCCTCGCCAAAACGACCGGTCCTGTGCTGCCTGCAACCAGCTGAAAGTCGTCGTGGCCTAAGGGATAAGACGTCCGGCGCATTCGTGTTGAGCGATCCACCGGTATTCGAATCTCAGGCGGGTACCAATTTTTCTAATGAAATACGTACTCCACAAATGTTCACGATTGACTTCCACGGTGAAGGAATAACATCGTGTATAAAAATCAAACCCGCAAAATTATAATTTGCGTAATTACTGGTGGGAGGACCTCTTGTGAGTCCGCACGGGTAGGTAACACCGCCCTGCCTATTTCTGCCGTGAAGCAGCAATGCGTTTCGGTCTGAAGGGTAGGGCAGCCGTTGTAACTATACTGAGATCTTAGAACTGAAATCTCAAGGTGGGTGGCGCATTTACGTTGTAGATGTCTATGGGCTCCAGTAACCATTTAACACCAGGCTGTGAGCTCGTCCACGTGATTAAAACAAATTGCAGAGTATTCTTTCGTTTAAACCTATAATTTTTGCTGCCTATTGCTCATCTGGTAGGATAGCTCCATCCTCAGACACAGACCACTGAGTTTTTCGCCGGATCTTCTCAGTGGGTCGCGTTTCCGACCCGGTGGTAGATTCTGCGAAGCACTACTCTTGCTAGGGCTAGCAACGTCCACAGGTTAGAGCCCTGTGAGCTCACCTACTCGCCTAATCTAGTACGACCCTCGATGTAACTAAAATAGGAAGAAAAAAAAAATCTGGGATCGCTTTTTTTTAGAATACAGCTGGCCATTGCATTTATTGTTTTTTTTTTGTAACTAGCGCATGTAATCAAAATTGAACAGTATCTATCGACCAATACATTCACTGGCAAGCATATCATCCTCATTATTTTAGCGATAACTTTTAATTGCGCAATACAAAACATTGCATATCAGTAAGCCCTATTCTTGGTGTCGTAAAGTCGTTTATCGCCTTCCCTCTGATTGCGCATCTACATACAGAAACGCGATAGTGATTTTTATTTCGTAATTGAAACTTAGGTCGCGTTCGTTTTTTTTTTTTTTTTTGTGGTATCTTTTCGCTTTTTCACGTACATGTCACGTATGTGTTTTGATAATGAATGCTGATGCTGAATGAATTACTGATATCTTTAATGATGAATCTTTATATTTGTTAACTAGCTTTTGCCCGCGACTTCGTCCGCGTGGAATATTTAATTTGGCATAACGCTAAATTTTACCCGGACTTCATTTCTTTCGTAAAGGTAAAGGGCAAATTTCTTTAAAATTTAATACTTTTTATAAAAACAACTTCAGAAATAATGCTTTATTTTAGAACAAATTTGGTTAGCATAAAGAACGTTATAGTGAGCCAACCTCANTGTTAACTATCTTTTGCCCGCGACTTCGTCCGCGTGGAATATTTAATTTGGCATAACGCTAAATTTTACCCGGACTTCATTTCTTTCGTAAAGGTAAAGGGCAAATTTCTTTAAAATTTAATACTTTTTATAAAAACAACTTCAGAAATAATGCTTTATTTTAGAACAAATTTGGTTAGCATAAAGAACGTTATAGTGAGCCAACCTCATATAGACATATGCTGTCGCGGACTTTTTTTCAGATCTTTTAAAGGGGAACAATTCTGTCATACATTATTTTAGCGAAACTTGAACAGTTTCCGCAGCGCACGCAGCGGAAGCTCTCAAAAGGGAAAAAAACCCCGATTTTGAAACATTCTTTATTGGTGCTCCGTTTGTATTGGTCTTAGCGTGACGTTATATAGCCTATATATAGCCTTCCTCAATAAATGGGCTATCTAAAACTGAAAGAATTTTTGAAATCGTAGTAGTTCCTGAGATTAGCGCGTTCAAACAAACAAACTCTTCAGCTTTATAATATTAGTATAGATGTTGATGTGGTAACGAAATCAGACAGACGAGCTACGGTAATCTCGCTAGTACTTTTTTAGACTTTTCCAGACTTTTCCAGAACGTCATATCGGTGCGTCATCGTAACGTAGTATTTGAATAAAACAATATCTCGAAAAGCGGGGATGAATTGCGTGAAAGACGATATCTGTAAGTGGGGAGTGAGCGAAGAAAGGGTATATGATAGAGGAGAATGGAAGGAAAAACATATTGCGCCGACCCCAGGTGACTGGGTGAAGGGCAGGAGAATGTTGAATATCTGGAAAAGCAATATGATAGTACAAAATAATAGTAGACAATCCGGTAGTGGATGGTGGATAATCTCAAATAATTACGCAGAGCATTCCCTACGTAGCATAAAGTGTTTTAAAGATCTTGAACACCCTCTACTGTATCAAATAGTTTAAATATGCGAGTTCCGGCTTGAAGGTGAGAGCAGTACTTCATTTTTATTATTTATTTTAAGTATTCGTTCAATAAAACTAATTCAACTCGCCCGACATTCTTTTTTTTTTTTTAAATATAAATATTTACTAACAATCACGCCACGTTAACTGGTCCCGTGTGATAAGTTCGTAAAGAACTTGTGTTACAGGTATCAGATAACGGAAATAAATGTAAGATTTTTATTATACACATATATATATTTTACGGTAGGCAGCGACTTGGCTCTGCCCCTGGCATTGCTGAAGTCCATGGGCGACGGTAACCACTCACCATCAGGTGGGCCGTATGCTCGTCTGCCTACAAGGGCAATAAAAAAAAAAAAAAATACATCCATAACCCTGGAAAAGACATTTATATTTATCATACAAATATTTTCTCTTGGCGGGATTCGAACCCGCGACCCCCTTGTGTAGTGACCATGTCACTTACCACTACACCAGACGGCCGTTGAATTGAACATTTTTTAATGGAAAATATGTAAATATCGACGAATAGAACCTCAGTCGTCAGTGTGTCCGCGAAAACTGTATTCTATGTACTAAAGTATTCGAAAAGTCGCTTATAATATAATCACAATAAAAAACGCGAGAATAAATAGCAAAAAAATTGTTTTTATTATGTTTACGATTCGCGAAAAGCGAAAATAAAACTATTTATGAGAGGAATAGAGAAAGAAAATGTGCGCGCGTACTACTGTCTCTTTCTTCTACAGTGTGAAACAGAAAATAAGCCTGAACTATGTCTTAGATATACGAAACGTAACTGGCTATGAGAGAAAGAAAGAAAATGTGTTCTCAGACCACTCTCTCTTACCCTTACAGTAATATTACGAAACATAACTCAATGTTTTCACTAACTCATAATATCTCCCTCTCAACTTTCGTTCGCCTCGTCCGATCACACTTTTCGTAACGCTCTCGTTACGCGTTCACCAGCTTACTCCCCAAGTCAAGCGTGCGTAAAGAAGTTTTACTTCACAAATCATTCTATACTATAATACGTATCGTGGATAAAGTGGTCATTCGATGCTGTCGCAAGCGTCGTGACCACTGGTAGACTGAATACTGTCGTTAGGTTGTTCGGAGCAAACAAATATGTGTAACCTCTACAGCTCTGCTTGAAAATCACGATCAGAACCCGATAAACAATAGCGTTTATAATGTAGCCGTGAAAGTTTAAAATACTTTTTGTTTAATTTATAGACAGACGAGGGGCCACCTAATGGTGAGTGGTTACCGTCGCTCTTAGACGTCAGCAATGTCCGGGAGAGGGGCAAAATAATCGAAAACGATTCGTCAGCAATTATAAAGACGTTAGCAACTCCGAAAACCAAAGAAAATATTATGAGACCAGGGGTATCTAAAAGGTATCTAGGTTGCACTGACGCTAACACGAAGAAAGTGCATTCTAAATACGGGGAACTGGTTTTAGCTTATAACGTAACTCTGAATGTAAGCTCTGTTAGTATCCTAACACACCTATCTATCTATATATTAACACGCGAAGCAAAAACTTTTTAGCCTTTTTTACGAAAACTGCGTGGACGGAGGAGTGTGAAATTTCCCACACTTATAGAGAATATAGAGGAGTGCAGAATGTTAATTTTTTATTTAATTATGCCTAAAAAATACATTTAATCAATAAAAAAACCTTACACATACTACCATGTATTTGACACAACACATACTCTTTGTCTCGGAATTGTCGGGCTGTCGATAGCACGTTAGGTTGTAATCCCAATATACTTTAGTCACTTAACTGAACACGTGTCTTATTGATCCTTGCCCAATATAGAGAAAGCACGCTCAACACCAGATGGATCCTGAGCTCGACTACGACCGATGAAATTAAAGGTCACAACTTACCACTGTAGCCAATCGGTGCGTTTTCCTGGATCTTGAAGGTGAACGGTATGTGTACCCTTTGCATCAGAAGCCGCGGTGGTGGCATTGTTCTGCTCCAAGCGTCTTCCCTACCCTCGCCCACTATGCCTATCACCTCCATGTTCCTGTGGACAAAACATATATAGAATAAATATAAAAATGAATTGCTGTTCGTTAGTCTCGCTAAAACTCGAGAACGGCTGGACCGATTTGGCCAATTTTGGTCTTGAATTATTTGTGGAAGTCCAGAGAAAGTTTAAAAGGTAGATAAATATAAAAACGTTCGGAATTAAATAAAAGTAACAAATTTGTTTTTCCTTTGATGTCCCCCCCCCCCTTTGATGTGTCGCCGCGTCGGACGGATTACTTTTGTTAGTTTTAAGTTTATTGTATACAAAAGTTTAGGTCTTTTATTTATCGATTGGGGCACTACGAAGTCTGCCGGGTCAGCTAGTATAGAATAAAAAACAACGCATAAGGTGTAACGAAAAATATATTTTTTTTTTAATTTTTATTTAAAACTTTTTGAGTTCTTTTTTTTAAAACGGAACTTTTCTTATATATATTGACTGAACTCTCTGTCATTGAGAAAAAAGACGAGTTCAGTTTTATTTAATTCAAGAATACTGTGTAAAATTATTTGTGGTAAATAAAGGCTTGTTAAATGTTGCTTTTTTAATATTATACAGAAAAGGCAATTAAGTCTTTTTTATTATTGTTTAACCACTTTCAGAATATTCCATATAATTATATGTCGGAGAAGCCAACATTTTTAATAAGATCCTCAGACATCATAGGGGCAAATAAGGTGATCGAGCTAAGAGAAATCTTGAGTACACCAATCACGTTTGTTGTCTTAGAACAATTTAGAAATCTTCTCTTGACGTTAGCAAACGAAAACGAATGACAGTTCTTAGGGCGGAGGCACCGCTCTTCAAGAAGGCTGGTTGGCAAGTGTGTAATGGCGTCTACGCGCCTCCATCGGCTAGGCTCTCTGGTAGCACGAAGTTAGCAGAGTTCCGACGATACCGCAACCGTGCTGCCATCTCTCGGGAATCGTGCTGCGTTTTGGTTTAGCTACTAAACTAATGACCGTCTCCGACATATTATTATATGTATAAAGTAGAAGTAGTGGTAATAGTAACTATGAATTTTTGTATCTATGTAACGGTATCTTTTAATGTAATATTCGCAGACTTCAAGACGTTCGATAAACTTGAAAATTTGCGCACGTGACTTCAATGACACTACAATAATTTTATTACAACCTACAGCCTAACCAACATCTTACAAGCAGGCTCACCAGGATAAAAAAAAAACGTTTTTTATTGAAGACTAGCGACCCGCCCACGCTTCCCTTCATCATCATCATCATCATCATCATCATCATCATCATCATCATCATCATCATCATTCCTTCCTATTATCCTCTGCTGGGGTGTAGGGCTCGAATCAAATGTTTCCTTCGGAAACATTAAATTTTATTATTGATAGCTGAGTCCCGCGATGCTACCCGCGGTTATTGTCGTACCGCGGGTGACGCCGCGGGGCGAAGCTAGTCTAAACAAAATTAGCTTAAGTTACTCCTTATATCATCAGCCTACATACCTATCAGTGAAAGTCTCGTCAAAATTGGTCCAGCCGTTCCAGAGATTAGCCGGAAGAAACAGACAGACAGACAGAGACAAAAATTGTAAAAAATGCTATTTTGGTGTGTGTATGCATGTAGTAAAAAGCGGTTATTTCAATATTGCAAACAGACACTCCAATTTTATTTATATGTGTATAGATTTTTTATTTATTCAAAAGACATAGTCTCTAAAAGTTAATCGTCAATTCGTCGAAGGCAATGAATTGTTTGACTGTACGATTTAATGAACAAAAATGAATTAGATTAACTAGCTGACGTGCGCTTGTCATCAGTTTGATTCTGACTCATTACTAGACATGAATAAATAAATACTTGTGTTCGCCCAATGCTCGAAATTCAACATTAACGAGTGATACTTTAAGATTTAGATTCGTTTTCGGAATAAAAAAAAAGACTATTAACAAATTATTATTACTAGAGGTCCCGCAGTAGTCGAAATTCGACTATAATTAATTGGAATTGTAAGTTTGTACATTATTATGATTGTATTTTATACTTCTATAATCACAAATTTCGCCAAGACTACACTATAAAAAATATTAACAAAGACAAACAATATCTAATCTATTCTCAATTCAACAGACGTCAAGAACAAAAGTTTGACAATAAATAGTAGGCATGCGTGTGTGCGTCATATACATGGTATGTAGTGTGTGTAATGTTTTCTTTATTGATTTAATGTATCTTTTATGCATTATTTAAAAAAAATATTAGCATTGTGCACTTCTTCTCTGTATTCTCTATAAGTGTAGATAATTTCATACTCCTCCGTCCGCGCAATTTTCGTAAAAAGGGATACAAAGTTTTTGCTTCACGTATTAATATATAGATTATGTACTGATAACACTAAAACTCGTAGTTGTAGTGGCTAGCTATTACTAACCAAAAAACAATCGTTCGACATGTGGGCCAAAAATCGATTTTGTAGTTTTTTTTTATTGCTCAGCCCACCTGATGTCAAGTGGTTACTGGAGCCCATAGACATCCACAACGTAAATGCGCCACCCACCTTGAGATATAAGTTCTAAGGTCTCAGTATAGTTATAACGGCTGCTCCGCCCTTCAAACCGAAACGCATTACTGCTTCACGACAGATATAGGCGGAGTTGCTGTACCTACCCGTGCGGAATCACAAGAGGTCCTACCACCGGTAATTACGCAAATTATAATTTTGCGGGTTTAATTCTTATTCCACGATGTTATTCCTTCACCGTGGAAGTCAATCGTGAACATTTGTTAAGTACGTATTTCATTAGGAAAACTGGTACCCGCCTGCGGGACTCGAACATCGTTGCATCGCTAGATACGAATACACCGGATACTAACGCATAAAAATAACTCAAATAGCACTAGATTATTAATCAGCACTCGAACTAGGGAAGATTATTTGTTGTTGGGATAAATGGATATAGTACGGGTACCGGCTAAGGCGAGACTTTCGGCGCGCACCGCGGTACCGTAAGTTTCGTGTAGTCGGTGTGGTGGAGCTCGATGGGGTTTAGTCGGTAGTTGTACTGCGGGGCAAGTGCTTCGCGCGCCTTTTTCAAGGCGTAGTCTCCTGTGAAAAATTGGGGGAGGTGGAGGACCTCGGCCCTTCTCTTCTCCCCTTCTTCCTCTCAGGAGGCGCCGGAGTTCGACATAACCCGGTCCGTTACCCCCCTCGACCGGGTATCCGTAAATGGGATAAATGGATCAGTTGGATATCCATCCCGACCGCGTTCGAACTAAGACCACAATTAAAGTAGTCGGAATATTTATCGAAACATGCATTTTTATGTTTGTCATGTTTATCGATGTGAAGTACGTTTACATTCCATGCATACAAAACAGAAGACTCATTAGAAAACATGACCCTATCTTGTCTGAATGAATAATGCATTGTTTATTTGAATGAAACTGAGCGTTCTATTTAAAACCCAAGTTCAAGGTTCGTTTCGAGGCTTCTGTTGAGAGCATATCGACGCTTGTTAGGCAAACGTGACTAAGCGACAATAACTGCTTTGTACATAAATGATAGGCAATAACCATATTCGATGCGCAAAAAATATATATTTCTAGGTCTATTAAAATCATTTCAATCCTACAGCTACTAGCTAGATTCTACTACAGCTAGATTCGTTAAAATACATTTTGTTTTCAGGTATTTCAACTTTAAGTTAGTCTACTGTAAATTTCACTCTTGTGAGTCCGCACGGGTAGGTACCACCACCCCGCCTATTTCTGCCGTGAAGCAGTAATGCGTTTCGGTTTGAAGGGTGGGGTAGCCGTTGTAACTATACTGAGACCTTAGAACTTATATCTCAAGGTGGGTGGCGCATTTACATTGTAGATGTCTATGGGCTCCAGTAACCACTTAACACCAGGTGGGCTGTGAGCCCGTCCACCCATCTAAGCAATAAAAAAAATAAAAAAATAAAAATATTGTAAGAAAAATGATTTTACTGTAAAAAAGCGTGGGGTGCTTTCAAAACGTCAGATTAACTCGAAATTTGGTATAGGTACTTATTAAGGACCGATGACAATTCAATATTTAAAAAAATATATTGAAAATTTTTTAATTCAACTAAAAAGTGAAAAATAAATTTGAATTAAAAATAGTGTAAGAAAAATGATTTTATTGTAAAAAAAGCGCGGGGTGCATGGTATCAGTAGTTATAAATATTTTATGAACGGATATGAGTAGAAGGGTTATTTTGATGATACCTGAAAAGCACCCCACGCTTTTTTTTACAATAAAATCATTTTTTCTTAAACTATTTTCAATTCAAATTTATTAAAATTTATTTTCTATTTTTTATTTAGATTTTCTAGAAAAGCGTATTTTGTTAGTTTTTTTTTAACTATTATTTATTTAAAACGCTTTTGCAAATAACGGCCAACTATAGACTACAATCTACATTGTTAATAATGGAATGGCCATTAGTGGTGTTGCAATTGGTGGCAGGTATGCTGGCGAACTCACATAAATTAAATTCACTATTTACTTCAATGTCAAGTTGTCGCGTTGCGTAACGTTACAAAATCTCTACTATTCCATTGAAGAATTGAGAAATTGAAAGTAATATATTTGTACAACATATTCATTTCTCAGACGTGTTTCTCAAATGTCTTTGGAAATATTCTGGTTTTTTAATATATGTGTTTTGGTAATGAACTTGTTTAACTACAAAATAAATGTGTAGTAACAACACATTTGGTGATTTGACATTGAACAAACCGAAATGCACGTCCGTTTGTTTGTTTATTCAGGCTAATCCCCTGATTAATCGTTTCTTGCAGATTTTCATCTACATCATTGTCATGTTTATTGTCATGACGTAAATTTTGAATTCCTACGATTTAATCGGTGTGGTCCTTAAATTTTGTGAAATCCATGAGGTATGTTACTAAGCAACCGTTGAAAGATCGGTTAAATAAGTGGACGAGCTGGTCCACTTATTTAACCTGGTGTTGAGGGGTCACCGGAGCCTGTAGACATCAATGTCGATGCCGCAACCTTGAGACATGAGTTCTAAGTCTCCGTTTTACAGTACAACGTCTGCCTCACCCTTCAAACCGAAACGCTTTACTTCTTCGCGGTAGGAATAAGACGAGGTGGTGGTACCTTACCCGTGCGATCTCATAAGATGCCTTTTTGTTCACAAGACGCCCTCCCACCAGTAAGATATAAATGTGATAACGTATTCCTTTGGCACGCAATCAGAACTGGACGCGCTGAATAGGAAAGTTCGGCGATTGTCAACGCATACAGAACGCATCAGACATTTATCTTCTCTACCTAAGCTGATGGTCTTGAGAGACCATATCAGCGACACCGAGCGAGTAGGTGAGCTGACGTGGCTCAAACCTGACGTTGTTGCTAACCCGAAACCTAGCAAGAGCCATGCTTCGCAAAATCTACCACCGGATCGGAAACGCGACCCACTGAGAGATCCGGCGAGAAACTGAGTGGGCTGTGTCTGTGGGTTAATTTACTCGCCGAACCCTTCGTCGCCAGCGACGGGTTCGACGAGAACGATGACCGGTGTAATCTCCTTAAGGTCAATGTGAATATGCATAGGTATGTTGTTGCAATCTATAAGAGTTCCTTGCAACAACTTTGCTGTCCTTGGTAAATGGGAATTGGCAGAGGCCGAGAATGTTCCGTATTCCAGATACCACTGCAATATGAAGAGCAAAGAGTATCACGATAAAGTATTCTAGTATATCTTGAGGCACTCTTCTTCTGAGTCTTATTGTAGTCATTTGGTTGTCCATTAAATGCTTAGCAAGTGGTGAAAGTAACTTGTACAAACTTGAATTTATTCGCTTTGATGCGCCATTTTTTTAGCAAGTGTTGATGTTATTAAGGCTGTTTTGAAATTTATATGAAGCTTCTTTTGGATCGTCGTCCATGGTCATTACTGCTGTGTCATCAGCAAAAGTTCCCATTATCGTACCATCATTTTCGGGTAAATCAGCTGTATATAATAGATATAAAGTGGGGCCAATGACACTGCCTTGGGGAACACCGGCATTAATTGAATGGAGAGGCGATATTTCATCGCCATGTTTCACTAAATAATATCAGCTACTCAACTAAGATTCAAAGAAAAAAAATAGAAGTTGGAAGGAGTCCTTCATGCCAAACTCGGTCGAAGGCCTGAGATATATCCAGGAAGGCAGCCGCGCAGTATTTTTTTCCCTCAAAAGCTCTACTAATATTTTCCAGTCTGTGAATTTGTTCGATTGTACTACGTTCCCGTCTTAAGCCAAACTGATGGTCTGGGATTAGTTCGCAGTTATGAAAGTTATCATGATGAACAACTACCGGAAATGTTTACTAAAGGATGGGACGGTCGACATTTATTGTCGGTCATGCCACCGTCAGGGGGTCTCTCGAGATATCGTTTCTGCTTGTTTTACTAACGGCTAGTACGTTCAAGTAGTTAGGATTATTCATCAACAAAATTCCCTATTAAGCTATTGTTGACTTCGTGTCCAGATACAGTTACCAATCACCACCTCAACCAGTTCTTAAAAAAGATGACATTACGCTCTACTGGGATCGATCTATTATGGACAGAATTAATGTCGCCAATAAGCTTTATATCGTAGGAAGAATACATTAGTTTCCGAGTCGATCTTTCTTTATTGCTGACATGGGTGGACAAGCTCACGGCCCACCTGATATGAAGTGGTTACCGGAGCCCATAGACATCTACAACGTAAATGCCACCACCCACCTTGAGACATGAAGTTGTAAGATCTCACTTTTAACAGTACAAGGGCTGCCCCGCCGTTCAAACCGAAACACATTACTGCTTCACGGCCGAAATAGGCAGGGGGGTGGTACCTACCTGGGCGAACTCACAAGACGTCCTACCACCAATAATTGGGCAAACTACAATTTTACAGGTTTGATTTTTACTACACGATGTTATTCCTTCACCGTGGAAGTCAATCGTGAACATTTGTTAAGTACGTATTTCACCAGAAAAATTGGTACCCGCTGGGGGGATTCGAGCACCGATGCATCGCTATATACTAATACACCGGACGGCTTAATGCTTTAGGCCACGACGACTTCGAATCATTGATGCACTCCTCATGATCATAAAGGCAGTAAAGTATGTATAAATTGCTAAGATATTTAGACGTGGTCTAAGAGACTACCGGCACGTGGTATGTTGATTCATCTATCATTGTTCCGATACTTGTATCGGCGCACGGTTTGTTAGCGTGAAGCTGCGACCAACATCCTAAGAAGCTTTCACTATCTAGCCGGATTAAGGGTGCCACAGATACATAAAAGACAAGAACACGTACGCTCAGATCTCGAATACTGAGACAATCTTACATTCCAGTCTGTAGGGTAACCATATTTTTCTAATGTTGGACTTACGCCTCATGTCTGATTGTATGTAGCAGAATTCACTTTGTGGGGCTCCTATAACGAGGTAATAACATGAAGACTTGTGTTACCTTATTTAATACGAATTGTCGTAGACTAGAGGATAATACGCCCAGTGTCGCTCATATCAAGTGATGTGACTATGACAGACAATTCAAATATATATGTACTTTCCTTTGTGTCCAGGAACAAATTCCACAATGAAGATATTACAAAGATTGTATAATGTATAATAGAAGTCTAAACAAATTATAAATCAGCATTATTACTGGTGGTATGGAAATAAATATGCCCACGTGGATAGACAGTTCATACGTCATATAACTTAAAAACTGAATTTAATTGCATAATACTTTTAATCTAGCTTTATCTGCAAAAAATACAATGAAGTCTGGGATTTTCAGATAATGTAGACCGTAGTATGCATTACTAGAACATTCTAGAGTGCACTAAAGAAGAACATTTTCAAATCCCACCCCTAAAAATGCAATAAAAAATGGATAAACAGTATGAATGTAGATTTATGTTCTTAAGTAGCCATTTTGTAATCTAAAATAGAAACAAATTTAATGTGTCTAGTGCATGTCTCTTGTTTTTTTTCAATTTTAATTTACTAAATTTTAGCATAATTGTGTACTTAATTACAATCCCGGACTTCAGGGAGTCCACTATGATCTATTTATTGATTTGCTCAATAAGTTGCAACTTTTATATGTTTTGTTTGAAAATTATTACCTGAGGAGGTAGGTGCAAGGAGTGGCTGATTTATGTTATTTTTATTAACATACGTTCCTCCCTCCTATATGCATTTTTATATTTGTAGCTATAGCATTCCATGGTTGGTTTTATATCAATGTTGTAACGATTAAACAAAGATACTAAATTCAAAGTCATTCAAGAAATTTGTTTTTCCGTGATCAAAATGTATTTTACAAAAATAAATTGTGGCCTCTGACATTTATATTATTATTGAATAATTTTTCAATTATAATCTGTATTTATTTTTATTGTGTAATATCCATAATCATGCTATGAAAAACATTTTGTACATAACAAAGGATTGCTGTTTCTAATCAATTAAAATAATTATCTGTATATGCTCCTTAGATTGTTATATATGCAAATTTAAAATCCTTGTAATTACTATGATTCATTTTACTGTCTGACTATGTATGACAACATAAGAATATATTTTATTTATTAAAAAAATATTATTAACAAATTGGCATATTTTTCTAATTATAAGATATATTTCATCACATAATCTAACACTTAAAGCCAATGCTGTATGTGTTTTAAGCCCGGAGTTTTTTATTTAAAATTTCTTAAGAACATGCTGTAAAATATATAGACTGTAACGCGCCAAGGGCGAACTTTCTAAGACGTAGAATTTCTACTTTCGACGCGTTACACTCGATATTTTCATTCTAAAAATAATCGACGGGACGGGAGCATCGACACTATTTATGTAACAAAACAAAATCACTTACCTGAGCAGTATTACGAGCATCACAAACAATGCCACCAAAGCACCGATCATAATAAATATGTTCGGCAAATCTGCCAGAGTCAGTCCGGACGTACCCATCTTTGTATCTTCCCTGAAACCGTCACGAAACTGAACAACACTCGAAAGTGCGAGAAAAGATAGGGGTACGCATAAGTCCTACTACAATCACTGCGCTATCTCAACCTTGCCAAATAATACGTTTCGTTGAGCCTACCAGAATTCACTCCACAATTTCAACATTATTTAACATGTTTCGTATTACTGCCCAAACAAATTATAAAAAAAATCTGCTGCACTAAAAATTGTGATCTAGCTCCAACATACGTTAACAACAAAAACAATTCATTGATCGCAAAAAAAATCGAAGAGACGTGTTCTGTTTACCGATATTTTGACAGTAATGATAGTTCTGTCAGTCAAGTGAACTTCTGTACAATGACCATAGACTATATAGTATGGAAAGTTTCAATTTCACTGTATGTAAAGAAATTATATGATACAAGAGAAATAAAAATTTTATTTTCATCCAGTCCTTCTATCTACTACGAAGATTCTTACATTTAATGGCCGTTTTATTTTACTTTGTTAATCCAACTCGTATGTAGCGCCATCTATGATGATATTTTGGAGAATTTCTGTCAATCAAAAAATACCATGGCGTTTAAAATTTAAAGTATTAATAAATTATTATATTGTTATTAAAATTTAAAGTACGCGTATAACTAGAGATGGGTATATTATTATTTTTTACCCAAAGTAAGGTTGATTAATAACAAGCATACTTTATATCATTATGTTTTTATTTTATTTTTTTTATTGCTTAGATGTGTGGACAAGCTCACAGCCCACCTGGTGTTAAGTGGTTACTGGAGCCCATAGACATCTACGACGTAAATGCGCCACTCACCTTGAGATATAAGTTCTAAGGTCTCAAGTATAGTTACAGCGGCTGCCCCACCCTTCAAATCGAAACGCATTATTCCTTCACGGCAGCAATAAGCGGGGTGGACTCACAAGAGGTCCTACCACCAGTAAAGATTATGATAAAGAAGTTGTTGGTAGTGATTAACATTTCGATATTTCCGTGCATTTGAAATTAAAAAAAAAATTTTTTTCGATCGTAGTCTCATGGTGTGTTTACGCCACTGAAGTATATAGGTCTATGGTTTACGCAGGGAATTATCTGCTTTTTGGGTATGACTTGGTTTTTTGCTCTGGTTTTTACTTATTAATTCTATTAATATTCTTTTGTAACATCAATTTTGTTTAAAAAACTATTGCTTGGGCCGATCGTGCCTCTCTATCGCTTGTTCCGCGTTCTCGCTTGCACGCTCAGGCAGAACGTGACAGTTTTTTGTGCGTGAACGCATTGCCTGCGGTCAGCCCACTGAGTTTCTCGCCGGATCTTCTCAGTGGGTCGCGTTTCCGATCCGGTGGTAGATTCTGCGAAGCACTGCTCTGGCTAGGGCCAGTGTTAGCAACACCACTCCGGTTTGAGCCCCGTGAGCTCACCTACACGTTAGGGTGAAGCTGAAGTAGCCTCTCAAGACTATCAGCATGGGTAGGGAAAAAATCGTTTTATAAGACATAAAAAAACAGAAATAAATAAACCAATTCTGTACTTGGAAAACATCACAAAGAAGCAGAACAGAAAGTTGCGTGGAGCTAATCCTGGTGGATAACAACTACGATAGCGTCCCCGAAGAAGGGCTGACCGCTCCAAGGGTAGCTGCTACTGTCATTAACATTCAAATGGGCAGTAATCTAACTTTTTCGGTGTCAACAATCATAAATGATGAATATATTGATTGCATTCTCAAAACCTTTATTGATATATTTTATTGCATTGACGAATGAGCTCATGACTTTTTTTTATTGCTTAGATTGGTGGACGAGCTCACAGGCCACCTGGTGTTAAGTGGTTACTGGAGCCCATAGACATTTACAACGCAAATGCGCCACCCACCTTGTCTCAGTATAGTTACAGCGGCTGCCCCACCCTTCAAGCCGAAACGCATTACTGCTTCACGGCAGTAATAGGCGGAGTGGTGGTACCTACCTGTGCGGACTCACATGAGGTCCTACCACCAGTTGGGTCCTACCTACCATCATGAGCCGGCTCGTTAAGAGGTAACCAGAGCCAGATCAATAGTTATATCACAATAAGAATACCACCATCCGTCTCGAGGTCTAAGACTAATTGTATGGTATACTGGTTCTCCCAATGGAACTCAAGAGTTTACGTGTTAATTTTTTTTTGTCTTAATTGTTCGATGTCGGTTTTTCTGAGACAAACATAAAGTCTTTCTTAAAGTTTCGGCACAAAGCGTAGTCGACACCAGATTTTTTGTTACACATCTTAACGTGAACTTTGCCATCAACACCTGAAGTGATGACCACGACCACTCTATCAAGAGTGATAACAATAAAGAAGAATCAGTTAATTCGACAGTAAATAGAAATTAACAACACGCTTTTACTAGCTTTGTATGTATGTGTGGAATCTTTAAATTTAATTTTCACCGACTTCAAGAAGTAGGATTAACACGATGATGATGCATTAAAGGACCGATGACAATACAATATTTTTCTTAAGTCGCTCTAATATCCTGACCAGTATCAACAGGATAACAAAATATGAGATTATTTAGTTACTTCTTGATTGCTAATTAAGCGTGTTTTTTTTAAGCTACATCCATATACTATCGAACAAGTTTATTTTAGGATACATAATTCACTAACGAGACTTCGCGAAACCACAACCTTTGACCTTACGAGGTAAATAGGCATAAAAGTTGAACCGCCGTGTACAGGTCGGTACTTAGCATCGATTTTAAATATACAGTATAATCATCATGCATGGAAAGTTATGTAGGCCGGGAAATAGAGATGACGGTGGAGGGCAGTGTCAGTATCAAGATCTTAATTTTATTTTCTAGGCTTACGTATTATAATTATAAGTTCATGGTTGGTCTTATGTAAGCGCATTCCGGAGCACATAGACAATAAAACATCAATGCCCCAAACTCATGAAACTCAAGGTCGAATTTGATGTATGCTTGGAAAGTCATTTATCATCATCAGCCCATAATTGAACACTGTTCGACAAAAGCCTCACCCAACTTACGCCCATGGTCTTCGATTATTCTTATCAATTTGTTGCAGTTCGCCATTTGCTAATTTAAATTCAATAATTCGAATTCAATACAATTGTTTTTATTAATTAATGTTTGATCTCGGTCTCCCAGACTACACCAGCCCTACCACTGCGGTTGTCATGTACACAGGCTAACACAAACCGTAAACAAAACACCGATCGATATAACTCAGTACTACGTTCAAAACGGTTGATGTAACGTAAAGGGGAACACATATTTTAGAAACAATAAAACGAATCTGATTCCGCAAGCCGCTTAAGTCCGTTCGACAACAAAAAAAAAAACGCGCTTTTTGACGTCTGATACGGCGGGAAATGACCCCGAGAACTTACGTCCAGAAACGCGAATGAAGAATTCAGTGAACGAGGACACCTCGAAATTCAAATTGTGGAACAACGTGGCGTCCTGCATGGAGAAATGGTTCGGTGATAAACGGCTCTGGTTATTTGGCAACAACCTGCCGCTGTTACCGAGAAGGTATGTCAATAGACAACGAAGAACTAAGTAACCTATTTGACTGATTGCGATGCTACATGCTATTAATTGTTAATACATTTTATTAGCGTGATATGTTTGTGAATAACCTTTCGGATGTGTCACAGATTAAAACGACATTAANATGGAGAAATGGTTCGGTGATAAACGGCTCTGGTTATTTGGCAACAACCTGCCGCTGTTACCGAGAAGGTATGTCAATAGACAACGAAGAACTAAGTAACCTATTTGACTGATTGCGATGCTACATGCTATTAATTGTTAATACATTTTATTAGCGTGATATGTTTGTGAATAACCTTTCGGATGTGTCACAGATTAAAACGACATTAAATATGTGTTATATGTCATGTTCGTGTGGTAACGGAAACTTTGAAAGTTATTCTCACCGCCTTCAAGAAACCCGATTAACTTAAATATTCATTCCAGAAAATTGAATGAGCGCGCATTAAAATTTAACGTACCTTTTTTTATTTTTTTTATTGCTTAGATGAGTGGACGAGCTCACAGCCCACCTGGTGTTAAGTGGTTACTGGAGCCCATAGACATCTACAACGTAAATGCGCCACCCACCTTGAGATATAAGTTCTAAGATCTCAGTATAGTTACAACGGCTGCCCTACCCTTCAAACCGAAACGCATTACTGCTTCACGGCAGAAAATGGGCAGGGTGGTGATACCTACCCGCGCAGACTCACAAGAGGTCACAAGAGGTTGTTATCGTAGTAACATTTTAATGGACAAACCACAACAATGATATTAGATATTGCAACTTAAGCAAAACTGTGACGTAGGTAATACAGTTCAAAGCTCATAATTTTTATAATCACTTTAATTACTTGTGATAGAGCGAATTATCAGTACTTGTACGAGTATAGAGCGCATTAAGTACACATAAGTACAAAATTATTTAAATTTAAAATTTATCATTTCAATAATTTTAATCTTAAAATTATAGTTCAAGATCCATGGAGCTCACATTGAGCAATTAAATTTAACTGACAATTTTAGTAGGCAACCTTCATTGCATCATAGTAAATGGGTGTAAAGGTCAGGAAGTTCTCGAGTGGCGATCGTGCGCATGAAAAGGCAGCGTGGATAGACCTCCCACCAGGAAGACAGACTACCTGCTAAATGTCGCAGGAACCTGCTGGATGCGGGGAGCGCAGGCCTGTTATTATCGCGAACCTTGGGGGAGGCCTATCTCCAGATGATGTCGATGATAATGATTATGATATTTTATACTTAATATATTCGTCTTCTAATATACCTGCTCGTCCCTCATCACAAAAACCGTAAAAAGTATTCGAAACATCGGAAACAATAAAATGACAATAAAAAAACGTGGGATTAAACCGTAAAAATAGTTTTAATTATATCTTAAATTATGTTAATAGTATTATCAGTTTTTAATTGAACAGAATAAGCATTTCAGCTGGCGGCAGCATTTTGACTGCGTCTCTAGTATTACTGATGACCATGAGCGATGTTGACCGGTTACCACCAGACAGACTTTTCTAGTTTGCCTTCGCACAAAAAAAAATGAAAGTTTTTGTGTGATTTCTGACTTCTACGTGCTACTTGAAAAATTCCCTCGTCAGTAGTTGTTGCCGACAGACATACCTTTATTAAACTTTAATTAATAAAGCATATTCTTAAATTTTAATGTAAATAAAGTTACGAGATTGGCCACTCTGGCCACTCAAGCATAGGTGAAAATGGTAGTTTTAAAAAACTGTCAAGAAAACACCCAAAACCAACAGTTATCCGGGATAAAGCACGCGTCACTCTCTAGTCCATAAACTACAACTATATTTGTAGCTTGCTGTTACGTAAAATCAAGAATCAGAGATCACTCTGGGTGAGATCATTATTGCCAGATAACAAAAAGCATCAGATGTCTGTTAAATCGTTGTTTCTTTGGTTCCTTGGCGCGAGAACCTCGTTTGAGGTTCTTTCTACCCACGGTCTTGAAAAAGGTCCAATGCAGATGCCGCGCACGTCATTTTTTTTTTTTAATTTCTTTCCGTCGAAAATAATATGATTGAACAGTAGTATCATGCTTTCTACTTTGAAAAAGCGGTGCACATATTATTTTTATTGCTTAGATGGGTGGACGAGCTCACGGCCTACCTGGTGTTAAGTAATTACCGGAGCCCGTAGACATCTACAACGTAAATCCCGCCACCCTCCTTGAGACATGAGTTTTAAGGTCTCACTTTTAACAGTAGAACAGCTGTCCCACCCTACAAACTAAAACGCGTTACTGCTTTACGGCAGAAATAGGCAGGATGGTGGTACCTACCCGTGCGGACTCACAAGGTGTCCTACCACCAGTAAAATTACACATCCGACCCAAGCGACGGGGCAACGCAAATGTCTTTGCCTAAAAGACGTCATAACGGATCCTCCGGACCGCTCTCTATACTTTTAGGCCTTCAAGCACGGTCATCGAACTCGTCGATTACGACGAAGAGTTCGACGTCCAAACTAAACCATAGACACAAATCACCGTGTTTCTCGCCGGATTTTCTTAGTGGATCTGGATTTCGATCTGAGGGTAGATTCAGCGAAGCACTATTTATATTAGGGTCAGTGTAAGTTATCTACCGGAGTAGCTGGAATACTCCCTTACCCCTGCCAGCGATTAGGTACGGACAAAAACCAACGATCTCCATTGACCATTATTTGACCATTGAAATCAAGTAGAAAGCCAGTTTTTTTTTTATTGCCCTATAGGCAGACGAGCATACGGTCCTCCTGATAGTGAGTGGTTACCGTCGCCCATGGACGTCAGCAATACCAGAGGCAGAGCCAAGCAGCTGCCTACCGTTTAATACTCTCCACAAGCCTCGTTTGAAGAAGGACATGTCATAGCGCTCGGGAAACAGTTGGAATTAAAAAGCCTCGACGATAACCTTTTTAGTGAATCTTCTATGCACTGACAGCCAAAAACATTCTTTAAGCCTCAAATGTACCAAAATTAATTTGCAACGAGGTGGATTAAGTTCAATCTGACGTTTTTTTTTATTGCCCTTATAGGCAGACGGGCATACAGCCCACCTGATGGTGAGTGGTTACCGTCGCCCATGGACTTCAGCCATGCCAGGGGCAGAGCCAAGCCGCTGCCTACCGAAATAGATTGAAGTCGTCGTGGCCTAAAGGATAAGACGTCCGGTGCATTCGTATATAGCGATGCAACGGTGTTCGAATCCCGCAGGCGGGTACCAATTTCTCTAATGAAATACGTACTTAACAATTGTTCACGATTGTATTCCCCGGTCAAGGAATAACATCGTGTAATAAAAATCAAACCCGCAAAATTATAATTTGCGTAATTACTGGTGGCAGGACCTCTTGTGAGTCCGCACGGGTAGGTACCACCGCCCCGCCTATATCTGCCGTGAAGCAGTAATGCGTTTCGGTTTGAAGGGTGGGGCAGCCGTTGTAACTATGCTGAGACCTTAGAACACAGATAGCCCCCTTAGAACTTATATCTCAAGGTGTGTGGCGCATTTACGTTGTAGATGTCTATGGGTTCCAGTAACTACTTAACACCAAGTGGGCTGTGACCTCGTCCACACATCTAGGCAATAAAAAAAAATACAATTAGTGCGTACTATATTCTACTAAAAACAAATTTTATAAACTAAAATAGGTACGTCACCGGTTTGAAAACGCAGCTTACGAGAATCTAATATTTTATATTACAACAAAACCTGACCTACTTCAAATACTTATTAGATTTTGAATGTTGAAATGCGACGCGAGACAAGGTTGTTTCTATGGTGCTTATTCTCAAGGATTGTTTGACCATGACCGAAGAATATTGTGTAATGCATAGTAAATACATACTTGCTACAATATGGTTTAAGTATTACAAATTTTAATGTCTTTTCCGTATCGACATGAGGAAGAATTGGAAGATTTTTTGACTTTTGACAAAAAATCAATCATCACTTAATATGTTAACGTGCTGACGGCCTATCCGTAGCTAAGTGTTTGAGATTCAATTTGAGATCTGACGTATATATATTTTCTCAGATTATAAAGAGAAACAAATTTTTCCGATGCATTCTTCTTGCTTAAATGACAGAAGAACAAATATGTCATTTTTTCGTTGGATTCTTTAGTTTGATCGTGTACTTTTGCATTTATAATAAATTTATGTATTATATGAAAAATCATTAAGTAAATATTTACAAGAATATAAGATCAAATTAGTGAAATCATGAAAGGAGATATAAATAAATATTTGGTGTCGCCTTGTGTTGTTACTGCATGGTATGTTGTATTTTAATTTGTCCAAATTGTTATAATTCCTAATTTTTTTTGTGTACGTTCATAGACCAATTAATGTTCACTGTTATTAAATTATTTTACTTTAATAAAGTTGTAATGGCCTAAAGGATAAGATTCCATGTGCATTCGTCTCGAGTGATGCGACTGAATCCCGCACGCTTTTACCATATTTTCCTATGAAATCTTTTATTTCCTTTATTTATCACATGTTCGGGTGATAAACCGTCTTGTGAGGATATAAGTTATCACCACATTGCCTGTTTCGGTCGTAAAGCAGTGATGTTCTACTCGAAGTTTAAGTTGTATATCTATCTACCACAAAAGCCATACATACGGAAATGTGTAGCTGAGTGAACTCATCCCATGTAAAGAGCAAAAGAGATGTAGGGTGTTCTTATTGAAGAAATAAAACTTTTCTGATCTTAAAAAAAATTATTAACTCGTCAATATTATCTATACGGTTCTTATAAAATTATATAGAAAGGTGACAACCCCTGAATAGTATTTACGTCGGTTTTCATAGACGTAGCTCGTCTATCAGTCTATAAAATTGTTTCTTATTAATGATATTAAATATAATGACCATAAAAACTTCAGATTAAAGTAGGTAGTATTAATAATACATCCCTATAACTAAGATGCTGTCCATTAACCCACAGGTCACGCGCCAGTAGCCGCGCAATGGAACGCTACGAGAAACTCGCCAAGCTAGGCGAGGGCTCCTACGGTCTGGTCTACAAGTGCCGCAACAGAGACACCGGCGAGATAGTCGCGGTGAAGAAGTTCGTTGAAAACGAAGACGATCCCCTCATCAGGAAGATCGCTTTGCGGGAGATACGGATGTTGAAGGTAGATAGATATTAATATGCTTTTATTAGGGTTCAGACGTATGTATGTTTGTAACGGAATATTTGAACATGATTTTGACCCCCTTCAAAACGTCGGATTAACTCGAAATTTGGTATACTTATTAAGGATCGATGACAATCCAATAAGACAAAAAAAAAATTAAAAAAATATATATTGAAAAAATTGAAATTCAACTAAGCAATGGAAAATAAATAATAGTTTATTAAGTAAAAAAATTATTTTCTTTTGTTATGGTTGGATTGTACATGAAAGCGTATTTTGTTAGTTTTTTTAAACTATTATTTATTTTTAAACATTATCTTTATAATCTTTCACAAGGTCAAAGTTGAAGCCAGGACGATACACAACTAGTTTTTTCGATTCGTTAGTTAATTCCTTTAGCATTTAAGTATACATTTGAACAATTTGGCAAAATAATTGATGTTCTTTTCTTAATTGGTGTTCGTTTTTCAATTATGTACGATAGATTACGTGCGATTTCAACAAATGTTATATTAATACATCTAAAATTTCGTCTACATTAACTTATCTAGAATTATCTAGAATTTTAACTTTTTTTTTTTAATAGAACTTGAAGCATCCGAACCTTGTTAATTTAATTGAAGTTTTTCGACGGAAACGTAAACTGCATTTGGTGTTTGAATACTGTGACCACACGGTGCTGCACGAATTGGAAAAGTATCCAGCCGTGAGTACCTATCTATCTTGCGTTCAACCTTTTAATTTTAATTCTTTTATTAGTGTTTTTTTTGCTCACTTACATCAGTACTTAATCCATTCTTTTTTTATTGCTTACACGGGTGGACGAGCTCACAGCGCACCTCGAGCTATGTGGCTACTGGAGCCCATAGACGTAAATGCGCCACTCACCTTGAGATATGAGTTCTAAGGTCTCAAGTATAGTTACAAAGGCTGCTCCACCCTTCAAACCGAAACGCATTACTGCTTCACGGCAGAAATAGGCAGGGTGGACTCACTAGAGGTCCTACCACCAGAAAGATATCAAATTCACGGGGTGCGTTTTGCGATGGGCTCATTAACGTTAGTAAAATCTTGACATAGTGACTTATTAGTAAAAATATGTTTAAAATGTAATTATTTTTTTAAGCCTTGACTGTAAAACTATTCAAATGTACCTATATGTTTTTTGTGGGATAGAGTATCATGTTTTTTTATTTCCACAAGACCATTCAAGACTCATAAGACAGTATAAAACAAAAGAGTGTCTGGTTGATTGTATCGGTTTTTTTATCCTACCTATTCTGATAGCCTTGAGAGGCTATTTCAGCTGCTCCTTGACGTGTAGGTGAGCTCACGGGGCTCAAACCGGAGTGTTGCTAACACTAGGCCTAGCAAGAGCAGTGCTTCACAAAATCTACCACTGGATCGGAAACGCGATCCACAGAGAAAATCCGGCCAGAAACTCAGTGGGCTGTGTCTATGGGTTAATTTACTCGTCGAGCCCTTCGTCGCAAGCGACAGGTTCGGCGAGGACGGTGACCGGTGCTTGAGGTACCTAAAAGCACCGTTAATGGATCGGGAGGATCCGTAATGACGTGCTTAGGGCAACGTCGACTGTTTACCATTCGGTCCACAAGATCGGATATGTCTAATGCGACGAAAAAACTGAACTACAAATAAAAATCAGTACATCTTTGACGTAACAACGGATCCGTCCTTGAATGTCACTGTTTTTACGTCACTGCGGATTATCATTAACCAAGATCGTAAAATTTTGTCAGACATTTGACAAAGAATACGACTATATCGTGGGGTAAAAGGCTAATTCGTTTAAGTGACATTTTTGCAACTGTACAGAAGAGCCATTGAAAGATTAAAATCTATTATATATATATAAATATATAAAAATGAATTGCTGTTCGTTAGTCTCGCTAAAACACGAGAACGGCTGGACCGATTTGGCTAATTTTGGTCTTGAATTATTTGTGGAAGTCCAGAGAAGGTTTAAAAGGTCGATAAATATGAAAATGCTCGAAATTAAATAAAACTAACAGTTTTGTTTTTCCTTTGATGTGTCCCCCGTCCGTCTTTTATTTATCGATTGAGGCACTACGAAGTCTGCCGGGTCATCTAGTTTGGAATAAATATCATAACAAAAAAAAAACTTCTTCAGCTATTTGAATGGAGTAAACTTAATTGAAGTTCAATTAGAGATATCGAACTGTTGATGCTAATGCCACAAAAAACGCACCTTTAATTATAAAGATAAATGTCGCGTATTAAGGGAAATGTCGCTTAATATTTTCACCCTTTTTTTATATGAAGGAGTGGTTACTGGTAGTCTAGAGGCCTTTCTAGTTTTACCAGGACAGATAACTTTTCACATTCGATTTATGTACTTTAAGTATATACTAATGTTACGACTTGGGGTTATTATAACCGGCGTGCTTTGAATGTGGCTTAAAATACATAGGAAGACAAACTTGTGATGTGTTATAAATGACTGTGCTAGTCAATATTATATGTAGTATAGGGTTGTCGAAGCTATAGTTGTTTACGCTCCTTAAAAGGTACAGAGGGCCATACAAAGTAAATTTTATTTAACTATTTTATGAATTAAATTTTTTTATCTCAATTCTGAAACATATTTGGATACGTTCTGCGATGTTCTCTCCATATGTACGAGACGCGGTGCTCCTATTTTTAACAACCCTGTCATAGAACAACGCAATGGGTATTGATAGCATGTTTTCGGATATCCTTGACTTGAACATTTCAGATTATAATCGATTCTTATGTATCACAAGAGTACATATGTATGTGCGGCTACCTTTACGATAAATTATAAAAAGCTTAGGCGACAGAAAGCTTAGGATAAAAAGAAACACGAATTTCCAAAAAGTATTCATTTCGCTTCTAATGTTATATCGGTATTTAAAAATTTACAATTCTTTATCTTTACTATACATTTAGGTACATTTGTATGGATGCCTTATTTAGAATCTAGTCAATCTAATATATGGGTGGACGAGTTCAGGCCTTAAACATCTACAACGTAAATGCCGCCAACCACCTTGAGATATGAGTTCTAAGGTCTCAAGGTCAGTACAATGGTTGCCCGACCCTTCATACCGAAACGGATTACTGCTTCACGGCAGAAATAGGCAGGGTGGTCGTAACTACCCATGCGGACTCACAAGACGTCAGCCGTTGTAACTATACTTGAGACCTTAGAACTTATATTTCAAGGTGGGTCGCGCATTTACGTTATAGATGTCTATGGGCTGTAGTAACTACTTAATACCAGGTGGGCTATGAGCTCGTCCAACCATCTAAGCAATAAATTAAAAAAAAAACTGAAAATCATTCTTTTTTCGCCAGGGCTGTCCCGAACTACTTTCAAAGCAGATAATCTGGCAGACTTTGCAAGGGGTCGCGTACTGCCATCGGCATAATTGCATCCACCGTGACGTCAAACCTGAAAACATACTCCTCACGAGCGACGGAGTCGTCAAGCTCTGCGACTTTGGATTCGCAAGGATGATCAGTGCGTATAAAGATTTATTAAATTTCAATTAGTTAAGGGTTAAACGGTGTTAACAATAATCTGAATGACTAGAGAAAAAAAAGGCCTCTCTTCGTTTTGTTTGAAAATAGATAAAATATTCATCTATACTTAATAATATTATAAAGCTGAAGAGTTTGTTTGTTTGAACGCGCTAATCTCAGGAACTACTGGTCCGAGATTTGAATAATTCTTTCACTGTTAGATAGCCCATTTATTGAGGAAGGCTATAACATCACGGTAAGACCAATACAAGTGGAGCACCAATAAATAATGCTTCAAAATAGGGGTTTAAATAGCTTCCTTAACATTCTATAATTCAAAAATATTTTCACTTTCTACGTAAATGAAGTGGGGGTAAAATTTAGCGTAATGCCAAAGTAACTATTCCACGCGGACGGAGACGCGGGTAAAAGCTAGTTTATTGATACTACTCGAATGACAGTTATCGTGTGTATAGTACCTACAATAATGGTAGATCAGAAAAATCCTTTCTTGGTCAAAAACGCTTGTGCAAAGCTTCACCTTAATTCGATAAAAAATGCGTAACGTTTAAAACATGAACGAACTAATGGCGGATGCCCTCAAGCGTCGTACAAGGTCATTGCCCCGTACGTCAAAAGGTTTTTAATACATTACGTGCCGTTCACTTTTTGGTTAAGATATTTAGAGATTGACGTTGGTTTTTTTTATTAATATTACTACCTGCCATTATTATATAGAGAAGCTTCCGGATTTTTACCGTTATGCTCGGAACTAGTAATTCAGACGAAACACGGATGAAGGTTCCTGAAATCGAGACCACGTTATTATGAACCCACTCCATTTTCCTAATTTCCATCCTGAATTTTCACAAGTACCGTCCTTCAGGTGGCAGCTGTTCGTCGGAATATTCAGTTCACACCATGATTCCGTTCGGGGTGGACGTCAGAAGGAGAGCTAGTAACTATTTAATTTACGTTCTACTAATTTTGATATGTAGCTTCCGAAGTATTAAGCCATCTGTTAGTATTCGTTGTTGTGTACGAGATTGTTTGTTTTATGATGTTGCACTACTGTTGACTGAAATTTTTTTATGTGCTCTGCTTTGAAGAATAAGATTGTCGATATTACAACCCAATTGAATTTTTAAGCTACAGTCCTACAGTTTAAGTTACAGTTCAAGCTATACTGTATTAAAAACGTAGAACAGCGAAGCAGTGAATAAATAAATTTGGTAGAAAATTTAAAAACCTTCGAAGATATGGTAATAATCATTAAAAAGGGTAAATTGCACAAGGTTATAGGGCCTCAAAGTAAATTTCCCTGTACTATGGGAAACAGAGACTGATAAATACTTAAATACGAATAAATACTTTAAGAAAATTAAACACCCAGACAAAGAGCAAGTAAACTTGTTTGTTACATGTATTTTTTTTCGTCGTGGGTATTGAACTCACGACCCTCGCTAACTACATCGCCGAGTCAATCAAACTATGGCACGCTTTTTTCCCCTACCTTTGCGCTGGTAGACTGAGAAGCTTACCCAGCTACCCCCGGACGGGTAGGTGAGCTCCCGGGCTCAACCTGAGAGAATTTGCTAACACTAGTCCTAGCAAGAGCAGTGGGCTATATGGCATGCGTTTCTATTTATTCCCCTAAAAAATTTTATACCTATTATGCAGTAGATTTGTGAACACAGTATACCAAAAACATTGTGACATTTCACATTCAGCGTTCGAAAGTCCGAATTGTCTCTTGCATAATCGTTATCTGAAAATAATATGTCAATAGTGCAAGTACATACCTTAATCTATACAAATAAATAAAACTGAAGTGTCTGTTTGTCATATTAAAATATCCGTTTTTTACTACATGTTTATTAATGTATATACAGTATATATAATAATATGTACGAAAAGAACATTTTTAACAATTTTTGTCTATCTGTCTGTCTGTTTGTTCCGACTAATCTCTGGAACGGCTGGACCAATTTTGACGGGACTTTCACTGACAGATAGCTGATGTAATAAGGAATAACTTAGGCTACTTTTGTTTTGTTAAAATCCACGCGTACGAAGTCGCGAGCACATCTAGTTCTAAATATATTTCAAGGAAGCAAGGAGAGTGACTCCGAGCGGGAAAAATAGGCCTGTAATTTACTAGGACCACAACCGCTCGACAACGGGGCTATTAATTTATACATGCAATCAAAATTTTAGAAAACGGGTTTGCTTATTTTTATTTTAGCTTGTTTGGTTTTAGTTCGCGTTTGAGTCAATTTTTTGTGGTTAATTGCCCGATTGATACGTACCTAGCGTACGCCACAACCACTAAGCTTTTTGGAGCTGGATGTAAAAAAAAACGGTTTTATTCAATATCTCTATAAGAGCAATACCGTCTTTACCATAAGGGCACACGGGGCCCGTGCCCAGGGCCCCCATTCTCAGGGGGCCCCGAAAGACCTACAATTTCTCTCACACGTTTATTCTCAAAACCATTTTTGTCGGGCACATTACACTTTTTTCACAAATCAGTAATCAGAAGGTATTTACAAGGCATATACTATGCTTATAATAGAAGATTTTGCTCAACAGAAATCCCGAAAGAAACCGTTATCGAAATCGTAACCAAAAAACCAGCAGCATTCTAATATCATTAATGACATATTATATCATACTGTATTTGATTACCTATAATAAATGGTCTCAATCTCAGTAAAAAAATGTTATTATAATTCGCTTTTTTTTACTTTCCAAAAGGGCCTCAAAGGCTTGTGTGCCCAAGGGCCCCATCCTAGTTTAAGACGTCCCTGTATAAGAGTGCACGTTTGAAATAAGTTGCTAGTCATCAAATCACGTGTATCAATGACCTTGGCACGCTTTGACATGCGCTATGAAGCATGTCAAAATCGATTGGCGAAATCATTCTGTATGTAAATAGATCTAACATTTTATTTTATTGCAACGAATAAATAATATGCACTTGTGCAATTGCAACGTCAGTTCTTTGCCTGTTTGTCTAAGATACACACAGAAACGCACTGATATGATTATTAACAATGTTTAATTAAAACGATAAAAAACAAACAAACTGAACTGCTTAATTCTGCGGGTATTTCTTAATGAACCAAGCGGAATGTGAAAAGTAATTAAGTATAAGTTCTGATATGTTTTGAAAATAACTAACTGAATTCCGTTGATCGCTACGCTGTGGTTACATAGGGGAGTGCTCTGAGGAATTGTTCGAGATAATACTGACATCTCGCTTATACCATCACACCGCCCGCCATCGGAGTAGAGTTCATCCATACTACCTGGAGCCACTATGTTCATCCACAGTGCGTTTCCAGAGATCTTTTTTGCCACGTACCATCCGGCTATGGAATGAGCTCCCCTCCACGGTGTTTCCCGACATGTCCTTCTTCAAACGAGGCTTGTGGAGAGTATTAAACGGTAGGCAGCGGCTTGGCTCTGCCTCTGGCATTGCTGACGTCCATGAGCGACGGTAACCACTCACCATCAGATGGTCCGTATGCTCGTCTGCCTATACGGCAATAAAAAAAAGTCTACAATCTACATAGACTATATAAGTCGTCTTGGCTAAAAGGACAAGAAGTCCGGGGCACTCGTATCAAGCGATGCGATAATGTCGGCGTTCAAATCCCGCAAAAGGGTACATTTTCTATTCTAAAACGTACCTATCACGTATTTGTATTCACGAACGATTTCCACGAAGAAGGAATAACGTCGTGTAGTAGAGTAAAATGAAAACAACGTAATTACTATGTGCTTAGTGCGAGCTGAGTTATCATGGGTATATATATATAAGGGTATTATGAGATGAGATGACCAACAAATGCCGAAGATTTTTTTATTAGCACTGATGCAAGGGGTTTGCCATTAAACTTCTATATCTAGTCTTTTTTATGAGCATTCTTTTATTCTCTCAATTTACAGTCGATATTAATAATAGCTTATTGGTTGGTGACTCAGAAACAATCTTGCACAGATAGGCCAGTGCATTAGTACCTATCCAATCCTACTACCTATCCTATTTTAAAAAGAGTAAGGGCGTTGGGTCTTGAACATTGAGATCAATTAAAATAGGGTTTTAGTCTGGTTGCATCAATGTGTTATTACGGGAAGCGAATGTCAGTTTTAGGAGCCGCTCCTTTGACCCTGAAATGCGTGCGTGCCCATTCTTTTTTAAAATTAAATAATTTTTTTTTTAATTAAAATTTGTTTTTTTTTTATGTAATAATAATAAACTTAAATCAAATTGAAATCTAAATGCTCGTTGTAGTTGAAGATAAGATTTATTGAAATCGTTAGTATCTCTGATATTAGGTTTTTTTATTGCAATCGATGTACTGTCGACCTTGGGCTGCCAGGTGTGAGGTATTAACCTGAGTCAGATACGACAATGTCATCGAAAACTTTCAGAAGTGCTTTCAGAAGTTTTTTTAACAATTGTAATTGTCATCATAAATATGGGAAGACGGAGCGTGGATAGGGTTGCGGGAATGCGCCGGATGTAGGCAGCGCAAGACCGGTGGTCGTTGAATGGCAATAGCATTGCTCATGCATTGATATTTTGTTTCATTTATATTATGTACTAGCCGTACTCGCCCGCTTCGCTGGGCATTTAAAATTAACGTTATTATTTATTGTCATCATCATTAGGGAATCCAACACCCATATAAATAATTAGCCTATCCATTAAGTACATATATTTTCTACATGGAGACCAAGTTTCAAGTCAATCGGATGCATGGCTCAGTAGTTATAACGGAACATCCGTAAAACCACTGTAGATTTATATTTTAGTGTAGATAGGTAGATAAGTATTAAATTTACAAAAATGCAGATTACCGTGAATTTTGTATGTTTAACTTTTATTAAACGATACTGTTCTATCAATTTGAAACTCTGTTGAGGTCGATCATATTGGCAACAAAAATTAAAATTCAGTTGTTAGTGAACTGTGAAAAAAATCCCTACCGACCTTATTTCTGTGAAGTAAAGCTATGTACTGGTTTCAAGGTTTCGTTAACCGAAAAACTATATAAGACCTTGGATTAAACCCGAGAATCTCCGAGAGACTCCAATAGGAAAGTTTGAACGGAACTAACAAAGCCTTGGTCTATAAATAGCCGAAGGCGCGCCATCGCTATTCGCGTCGTACCCACGTAGCTGCGGCGCCATCAATCAAAGTCTTGGAAATACGTAAATTAGATGCTGACGATGCATGATACAGATTTATCTGTATAGTCGTATAGCTTGCGCGCTTTTAGGCTAGATGGACAGATCTTTGGCATGCCTGGTGTTGAATACGACCATCATCTTTAGGTCTAACTAAGGTATTGATTAATTAGTTAATGACGTTACCACCCTTAAAACCGGGACGCTTAACTGCTTCATAGCCGAAGAGCGAAACCAACCCAACTTGACAAGCTGATATGAGAAACGGTTTGGAAGTAGTAAGTTGTGTAAGTGTTAAATTATTGAAAACTTAATGTAGCTAACAGATTTCTTTTCGCTAAACATGCCCAGGTCCAGGAGAGAGTTACACGGACTATGTTGCGACGCGCTGGTACCGAGCCCCTGAGCTGTTGGTCGGAGACACTATGTACAGCACGCCGGTCGACGTGTGGGCCATAGGTAGGGATTGAGCCGCCAAACGTAAAGCTATAGATCGGGTAGTCATAATTCAACTGTACTCCTTTACTGAAATATTCAGTTTAGTTTTCATTATAATATTAGTATATTTCGAATATATGTTTTGTGCGATTGATTACTAGCAAGAATTTCGGTGATGCTTGATGCATTTATCCTAATAAGCTTGTACATAATAATGTGTAGGTTTTGATTATGGTTTTTTCTTTATTTATTTTTATTGCTTAGATGGACGAGCTCACGGCCCACCTGGTGATAAGTTGTTACCGGAGCCCATAGACAACTACAATGTAAATGCCGCCGCCCAACTTGAGATATGAGTTCTAAGGTTTCAGTATAGTTACAACGGCTGCCCCACCCTTCAAACCGAAACGCATTACTGCTTCACGGCAGAAATAAGTAGGGTAGTGATACCTACCCGTATGGACTCACAAGATATCCTACCACCAGTAAATGCGCAAACCATAACTTTGCGGGTACATTTTTATTACATGATGCTATTCCTTCACCGTGGAAGTCAATCGTGAACATTTGTTAAGTACCTATGTATTTCATTGGAAAAATTGGTACCTGCCGGCGGGATTCGAACACCGATGCATCGTAACGTACGAATGTGCCGGACGTCTTATCCTTTAGGCCACGACGACCTCTTTTCTCTTTGGACTAAAATACTTGAGCAAAGATAGCATATTAGAACCAAGTATAATCTGAAATGGAAAAATGATTAATATCGGACCGCATATATCTAATTACCTCCCATTACCTGTAGCATAAGGATTTGTGAGCTCCTCCCGTTTTGGCTTATCTATGTAGACAATGTGATCTGTGACTTACCATTCATTGTAGCATCAGGACCATATAGGTACGTGTTTTGTGCTTTTGATCTCGTGAAGCAATTCCTCAGGCTGTGTGTTCGCGGAGCTCCTGACAAGCGAGGCTCTGTGGCCGGGCAAGAGCGACTTGGACCAGTTGTACCTCATCAGGAAGACGTTGGGGGATCTACTCCCGCGGCACATGACCATCTTCTCGCAGAACACTTTCTTTCAGGTGAGTGGATCTTTTGAATGTTTATTTATTTATTTTTATTGGACATATTTACATATATGGATGGACGAGCTCACATCCCGCCTGGTGCTAAGTGGTTACCGAAGCCTATAGACATTTACAATGTAGATGCCGCCATCCACCTTGAGATGTGAGTAATAAGGTCTCAGTATAGTTACAACAGCTTCCCTACCCTTCAAGTCGAAACGCATTACTGCTTCACGGCAGAAATAGGCAGAGCGGTGGTACCTACCCGCGCGGACTCACAAGAAATCCTACCAGTAAACACTACATTTCATTTTGTCATTAAAAGCCCCACTCTTGATGAAGCCATCGATCAAATTTGCTTGACTAGTAAAAAGGGTGTATTGGGAGCTGTTTGGTAAGAGTCCTTCCTATTTCTGTCGTGAAGCAGTCATGCGTTTTTGCTTGGAATTCGTGACAGCCGTTGTACCATACAATTGACAGTTCGACTACAATTATCGCGGTATTCACGCCTCTCCTCATGTCTTTTTTTTATTGCTCAAATAGGTAGACGAGCTCACAGCCCAACTGATGTTAAGTGGTTACTGGAGCCCATAGACATCTACAATGTAAATGCGCCACCCACCTTTAGATATAAGTTCTAAGGTCTGAAGTATAGTTACACCGGCGGACCGTGAGCTCGTTCACAGATCATATTCTAATTGGTTTTAGGGTATGGCGCTACCGGAGCCGACGACTCTAGAACCACTCGAAAAGAAGATTCCGCCGCGTTATGCCAACAACGAACTCATACTAGACTTTTTGAAGGTTTGTGATCCAATTGTCGATACGTTTAATTAGTTTGCCATATTTGAATTTAACATACAGCGCAAATAGGAGTCGTTATTGGAAACTAAGGGAACTAACATGATGTGGATGAAGAGAACAGATTAAATTATTCTTGTAACTCCTAACCGACTTTGTCGTCGTTTCCTAAATGGGTCATTGATCAAGTCATGACATTGATATAGCCAATACGTTTTGATTTGTATACGTAACATCATACGTGAAGTTCGGAGTGGCTTAGCCTTGGAGTAAATGTGTCTTATAGACACAAACCACTGAGCTTCTCGTCGGATCTTCTCAGTCGGAAGTCATCGTGGCCTAAAAGATAAGACGTCTGGTGCATTCGTCTCTAGCGATACACCGGTGTTCGAATCCCGCTGGCGGATACCAATTTTTCTAATGCAATACGTACTTAACAAATGTTCACGATTGACTTCCACGGTGAAGGAATAACATCTTGTAAAAAAAATCCAAACCCGCAAAATTATAATTTGCGTAATTACTGGTAGGTACGGGTAGGTACCACCACCCCGCCTCTTTCTGCCGTGAAGCAGTAATGCGTTTCGGTTTGAAGAGTGGGGCAGCCGTTGTAACTATACTGAGACTTTAGAACTCATATCTCAAGGTGCAAGGTTCTGTTTCTTCAGAAATGCCTGGACAAGGATCCCATGATGAGGTGGACTTGCGAGCAGCTGTTGCGGCATCCGATCTTTGAGAACTTCCTGTTCACGGTGCCTCACTCCGATCACGAAGAATACGAAAGGGCCAGGAGAGCTCAAGTAAGCTGTGTGATGTGTTTGTCCTGGGATGGATGTGTGTGTGTGTTCATTGGAGAAGTTAGTGGCTGTGTGATATACTATCTTGTTGTGAATGCAAAATATTTTCGTGACAGCAATAAGCATGATCATAGCTCTCATCTCTGCCGGTTAATAATGCTACTAATATCTTAAAACCTAGCGTTTACCAGCTTCAAAAACATAATTCGTACTACCTATGTTCGTTAAGTATAGAATGCTAATCAGATAGAACTCTAATCAGATAGAAATCATCCAGTGAACGACGACCCTCTGAATAAGGGACTAAACATAACATTGAAATACTGGTGGTAGAACCGCTTGTATGTCCGCGCGGGTAGGTACCACCAGCCTGCCTATTTCTGCCGTGAAGCAATAATGCGTTTCGGTTTAAAGGGCCCGAGCCGTTGTAACTATACTTGAGACCTTAGAACTTATATCTCAAGGTGGATGGCGCATTTACGTCGTAGATGTGTATGGGCTCCAGTAATCAATTAACACCAGGTGGACTGTGAGCTTGTCCACCAATCTAAGCAATAAACAAAAAAATACTCACCTAATATCTCAAAACAAGCAGCGGCATTATTGTTATGATATCTAGGGTCTGTGATTACGGTAGCCACGTAGGCATCGCCTCGGCCGTGAGCTCTATCACACTTTTAACGCAAAAAAATAATGTGATTTTGGAATAGTTTACTCTGTGTACTTAGTGCGAGTTTTATAACGTTCTCGATAGCGTAAAAGTGAACCCAATTTTGTATGCAGTTGGAACAGCGCCCCTAGCGGCAAACGTAGGCAAACAATCCCATTCCATACAAATATGAGCTAACTTTTACGCTATCGAGAACGTTAAAAAACTCGCACTAATGCGGGATTTACATTACGAAATTAGTGTCATGCATGTTGAGCTCAGTTTCACGAAAGTAGTTTCGATATATGCGAAAGTAGTTTCGTTAAAAAATTAGTGTCGCGAAATTCACAGTATCGCAGTAACCATGGCGCCTTCAGCATCAAAGCTATAATTTGCTATATTCAATGTAGCTATCTATAGAATATAAACTTAAAAAAAGACTATCAAGAAAAAAAAAGTTGGTAGATTCGAGGATGGTCAACAAGAAGGTATTTAGGTGCAATGAAGTTAGTCTCTGAATTAGCAGATGAAGATCCTGAGAGTTATAAAAACTATTTTCGAATGATAATTTTGATTTTTTACTGTAGGTGTTTCGGGTCCCAGAGACACCCTTGTCGCTGATATTCATTAATAAGATCTAATTTTTATTCTGTACTCCATCGTTGGTTTGCCATTTTCAACGCTTGAAGCGCGTCCGAACTAACAATACACACGTCCGCACAGTGCAGGCTCTTTCGCGACATTAGTTTCACGTCGCGTCTACACTATGAAATTAGTTGCATGACACTAATTGCGCAGGGCACGAAACTAATTTGCATGCATGAAATTAATGCATGCATTACGAAAGTATTAAATTACACGTGAATCTGTTGGTAAAACTAATGTCACGAAATTAGTTTCATGCCACTAATTTCGTAATGTAAATTCGCCTTAAGCACACTGAACGCGTCTGTGAACACAATAACAACTTTTCAAAAAATATCTTATTTCAATAGAACTAGAAAATTATTTTTTATTTTATTGCCCTTGTAGGCAGACGAGCATACGGCCCACCTGATGGTGAGTGGTTACCGTAGCCCATGGACTTCAGCAATGCCAGGGGCAGAGCCAAGCCGCTGCCTACCGCAGTCAATAATAAATGTCAATAAACGTTTATCAATTATATGAACAGCACGAATTCAAATCGGCCCAAGGAGTTAATCAAGTGGAAGATACTCCGACGTATCGGTCGAGTTCCTCCATTGGAACCGCGAAGAAAAAATCGAAGACTAAATGATAAATTGGTTAGACATTAGAATGATGCGGTAGATCTAGAGATACTACTCTACTATATACTATATCTATAGTGTTTGTACGCATTTATGTTCTCTATAAACTTGAGACCAGAGTGACGTCACTTTTTTGGAATTAAGTTGAGCAACTACTGGAATGGAGACGTGAAGTTGAGGGTTTCAATTTTAAATAATGATTCTGGTACACTTCAACACGGAACCGTAGGACCGTAAATAAAAGACGAATATACCGTACCAATTTTTTTTTTTTATAATACACCCCACGTTACCTGGTCCCGTGCTAAGTTCGTAAAGAACTTGTGTTATAGGTACCAGATAACGGAAATAAATGTATGATTTTTATTATACACATACATATATTTAATACGCATCCATAACCCTGGAAAAGACATTTTATATTTATCATACAAATATCTTCCCTTGGCGGGATTCGAACCCGCGACCACCTTGTGTAGTGACCATGTTACTTACCACTACACCAGACGGCCGTTAAACATTATGGTGACGTGAGTGGTTACCGTCGCTCATGACGTCGGGAATGCGATGGGCCCAGCCAAGCCGCTGCTGTAGGCCCTACCTACCCTACCTACCCCTACCCTACAATAACAAGGGTCTCGCGCAGGTGCAGTCATCCCCGCTCCTGCCGCAGCTGATCGTCAACGAGAGAACTCAGCCTAAAGGCAAAAAGTCGGATCTGGATTCCCGGAGTCATCTGCCCACCATATGACTAGCGCCGCCAGCGCGACACCGGAAGTTGTCGTGATTCTATTAAAGCTCATCATCAAACAGTGTTTAATTCATTTTTGTGTGGATAGAGAATGACAGAGAATGTTACATATTATGTTACAACAGATGGGCTGAGTCAGTCAGTTCATTTCCTTAGCTATGTAAAGAACAGCTGTAGCGTAAGTGAATTGTGGCGATACCCATCATAGAACACAAGATATTTGACAGATGCTTGAATCTCGCTTACAGCGTTTTCAAGACAAGCTTGCATGTACCTACACATATATTTATTTTTTATTTTTTTTCCTACCTATTCTGGTAACCTCGAGGGGTTATTCTAGATTCGTAGAGCTTGTGGGTGAGCTCACGGGGCTCAAACCTGACGACGTTGCTAACACTAACCCTAGCAAGAGCTGTGCTTCGGATCGGAAACGCGACCCACTGAGAAGATCCGGCGAGAAACTCAGTGGGCTGTGTCTGAGGGTTAATTTACTCGTCGAGCCCTTCGTCGCAAGCGACGGGTTCGACGAGAACGATGACCGGTGCTTGAGGCACCTAAAAGCACCGTTAGTGGATCCGGAGGATACGAAATGACGTGTTTTGGGCGACGTCGACTGCTTTCCATTCGGTCCCCAGGATCGGGAATGTATATTTAAACAAGTTTAGAACAACATTCGGACCGTCGGTCTACCGAACAATATCACCCGCTCGGTGAAGACCTTCGCTTTGTCGTTAAATTTCCCCAAATTATAATTGGACACAGTTCAAACAATCCAGCGATGTTTTTATTGCCTATCTAACTATCAGTGCCCGCGGGGGACTTCTGGTTATGCCATGACAGGTGGGTGAGGATTTCTAACATCTGCCCTACCAAGTGCAATGCTTCGCCGAATCCGAATCGGCGATAAACTCTGTGGTTATGTCTCTTCGTCGCGTTCGCTCTTCTGTGTTTCGAGAACTTAACAGCACAACACAGCGACGAAGCAGCATGAATAAATTACTTCGGCAATATTTTTTTTACGGTGTGTTCCATGGCCATAGCTGGTTATGGGTGCCCAGATACGATACGAATGCGTAAATCTACATAAAAAGTATGCAGTGATCTTTGCTTAACTTATGGTTGTCTAGAAAAAATCATAGATGGGACCGCCCAGTGTAGTAATAGAAGTCACATGTTTTATTAATCTATAATTTATTTTACTGTATATATGTATATAGGCTTGACGTTCGATGTATTCAGCTATGTTACGATGCCTTTTTTGCTCATGAAAAGTTATTTTATGTATTCATTTGCGTTTCAAAAAAATTGTTTTTGTAGACGATTGATCAAACTACAAATATTTTGAGATATTATGTTTTAATACATTTAAACATGTTTTGTACACATTTTGTAACATTAATAACATATAAATTTATATAAACGTACATATAGTATATATGAATCCGGAATTTATTTTCTATGGACAACAATTAATGTAAATTATTTCCTGTGTATTTATTTTGACCTGAATTGAAAAATATTTTGATATGGAGCTTTCGATCTCTTTTTATCCATATAAAATTTTAATTCTACAGAATTTCATGGGAATAGTAAGAGTCAAATTCAAAATTATCAGCTATATAGATTTTATTCCTAGAATGGAACACAACACAAATAAATCATATTACCATAGTACGAGTAAATTTATAAAATTTTCTCACATTTATCTCATCAGATTATAATTTATTTGATGATTTTATATGGTAGGCAGCGGCTTGGCTCTGCCCCTGGCATTGCTGACGTCCATGAGCGACGGTGACCACTTACCATCAGGTGGGCCGTCTGCCTACAATGGCAATAAAAAAAAAAGATTATGCAACTGTTACAAAAGATTGATTATCATTATAGTTTCAAAGTTTTAATTTTATTTCAACATTCAAGTATTAGGTAAGTAATATTGTAAGTATATATTTAAATATCAATAAAATTGTATTATTTTGTAAAACATTAATAATTCTTAATCTTCATAAAAAAGAAAGTTACTTCTACCTTTAATTTAATACTTTTAATGATTAGAAATTGTAAAATTAAAATGAACTAGTATTTAATTAATTAAATTAGTGTAAAATTTTAAATTACATGTGAAAATAAATAAAACTTATTTTATTTTTTACATTGTTTTATTAACAAATTTTCCACCATGTAACACAATCATAACTTACTCTAATTCTATGTTAGCATAATATAATTTTATATGACAAGGTAATCATGAATCTATATACATTTACAGCTGTTTTTTTATTCTTCTCATTTATATTTCAGAATCCAAGTTCTTGCAACCACTGGAAAAGATGTATTTTTTATATCAACAGATGAAAAAATTAGAAGCAAATGCTGTTACAATAATTATTCTCTAGATATGTCGGCAACTCAAAACCCATCCGATTTTTATATCCTTTCTCTAGAATAGTGGTTGTCACACTTTTTTGCTCAAGGGCCACATAAGACAATGTATATTGTCACACATTTTTGGACTGCTTAGTTGACCACCATTATTATTATTAATAATATTATTATATTCAGATGAATGAATTTAATATTTGACAATTAAAATTACACCAATCACTAACGTCCATTTTCTTGTTGGAATAAATGAAAGTGACAGACAACTTAGCTTTAGTGTGTTTTTATTGGGAATTGAGCCCATTATCTACTAAAATTGTTTGTTCTGCCGCGGGCCGCAGGAATACTGGCCACAGTTTGCGACCACGACTCTGGAACCTATTCCGGCTTCACCGGGCTATAGCTGCCTAGAGACATTTTAAATTTGAGGCCACCACGACAAAAGAGTTATCTTGTCGCGTCGCTTTTTCAAAGAAACCTCCTGGTGTGAACTGGAACATCGGAGCTTTAACGTAAATTCATTTTAAATTTCATTTTAACGATTTCAAATTTTAAAGAGAGGTTTAAAAGATTTTTACTGCAGTTGTTTTTAGCATTGCAGAAATCTATGGAGAATAGTGATCACTAAGTTAATTCGCAAATTCGTTTACCTTATAGCATTAAACAGAATTACGAAAAACAATTTTTAGTAAGTTTCAATTTTTATTATTCTGCTTCTATATTTATTTATATTATTCTAATTGTTACCACATCTGTAGATATAAAGGGTAAATATACTGCTAGTTGTCAAATAAATTACCTTAGGAAGCCTACTGCGATCTTTGTCTGGCACCAGACTATCAACGCTCTGCAGCTTATACCAACCATAATGGAGACCACCTAATGCTGGTATCATTATAAGAAGAACTGCATTTTTAGTAGTGAACTGTTTTAAATTCATTTTCGAATATAATTTTTATCCCCGCGTTACAAATTGTCACTAGTAAAAACCCGTAGGTATTAAACTGTTTGTTATTGTGAATTTTTTAATTAAGGTTAGTTGTCTTTTCGAATTTTTATTGACAGCTTGATAGCTTGAAAACGACAGCTTTATTTTAACGTAGTAACGAAACCTTTAAGCCAAATCAAAAAGATAAAAAAAGCAAGGAAGGCTGCGCCGTCTCAAGGTGGTGGTGTAAGGCGTCAAGGTTGCTATGTAGGCCCCTGACATTGCTGAAATCCACATTAAATGTGGAATGGGGAACCGCCTGTAAAACCCTTTTCTTTTTTTTTCGACTTCATAAATTATTTTTCCGGAGAGTAGGATTAGGAGAGGTGGGATGTTGGAGGTGAGATCGAGGCAGCACCTGAATGAAGCGCGGAACATAGTACGTGCTCGACTACGGGTTGCCTGAGAGACTGACGCAGGGCATGGAAGGGCCCCTTATATTGTATCCTTTTTCTGTTTTAATATGAAAAATCGATATGAAATGAAATAAGATGAAGTTAATTAATTTGAGACTTTAATCAATTCGGATGAAATCAAAAGAACCGAGATTAGATGGGATGAAATAAAGTTTCTTTGTCGCTCTTGACTGAGTGGTCGTGGTCATCAGTTCACAACACTCCATGGCTAGCTTCACAACACCACGCAACCACTTTTCACTTAATAGGGTTATTACACTTGGCTGAATTCAGACGACTGAATTCTAACTACGTACTGCGGTTTTTTGTTTCAAATTTTCACATTGGTGAATTTTCATTGATACTAAACAGTTAATACGCCACCGTCCTTACACAATTACATAAAGATATATTATATAAAAAAAAAAACTAAAACATTTCACACAACTCTGATCCTCGCGTTCCCACTAAACGATCCCACAACTCGAGTTTTGATCATTTTTGCTAGAGTTCAACTTGTCCAAGAATAATTTTTTTTTTAAAAAAAATAATTAAAAAAATTATTAAAGTGGATTAATCAATAAACTGTTTTATTGATTTAGTGTCAGTTAGTTGAAAGACGTTTTTAGTTAGTTAAATTCCTCCATAATACAACATACAAAGACAACTGAAAAAAAAAGTGTTTGTTTCAGATCTATTTTTTCGTTATAGATTGAAGTTTCCGTCATATTGTGATTATGTCGTGATTGAATAGCTATAGTGCGTGCGTACTAGTTTTTAGTCAATAGAACAATAAAAGAGATTTAAAAAAAAAACATCAAACTTGATCAATTGTTCATCGATTGTTCAGTTTTCGACGCGATTGACTTTTTTGGGAAATAATGAATTCCAACTTTTGGTTCTCCATCAGCAGAAAATTGTAATCATTAGTATTTTGAATTAAAAGGTTGTAGGCTCATTTTTAAATTGTTGCTAGTGAGTTCATAAGCTTTTCAATCTCACTGTGAAGACACGACTAGCTTTTTGTAGGCATGTAAACAAGTAATAAGTACATTTCAAGATAGAAAATTTGTATTCTATTGCTTTTAATTTTTGAAACTAGAAGCTCTCCCTAGTAGGTACAAATTTTTCCTATCCTGACAAATAGTTATGTTAGGTTTCTTTCAAAATGACTGAAGATCAGTGTCACTCAAAACAAACAAAAAAGCTGTAATAACAATTATCCACTACCGATCGACATGCTACCAGTCCATATTGTAAATATTATTGTACTATTTACGAATCCATCTTTTTTCTATACGTGTTCACATTTTTAGTAATTTTAGAGCAACTCATATATTAAGTGTATAATCTATGGAGCAACTGGCTAAGTACATTTATTATCCATGGATACGTCCAGTCGATCAGGCCATTGAATCTTCTGCCTACCGAGGCAAAATAATTAATTGTCAAATACTGCAAATTGTCAAATGTCATTTTCAAAGAATAATCTCAAAAACATGGTGGCAACTCAGTAAAGTGGGTGAACTTTTTGAGTAATCATTAAAAATTTTGAAGCTTATTTAGCAAGAGTGTTTGAAACAATTTGTAAGTACGTTTTTAGTTATACACAGTTGTCGAGAAGTTCAAGAGAATTCATCTTAAGTATCTATTAATAGGTAAACACCGTCATAATAAGCTTCATACATAACCGAGGATGACGTCTGAGGAAACCCATATTTCTGAAGAACTGAAAGGATGCTACGAGAATCTTATTGTAATCGATATAGGTGCTAATCTGACCAACAAGAAGTACGGCCGTGATCTCGATTCCGTTGTGCAGAGGGCTAAGGATGCAGGTAACTAATGTCTCTTAGATTAACTCATAGTACATTTCACATTTTAGTTTCTCTTAAAGAGATAGTTATCCTTAGTATGCACGTTAACTATGTACATAGTACACAACAAAACTAACACAACTTGTTAACTTGTACAAAATACAAATTTCAATGCTAAATGTTATAAAAGCCGTTTTCACTAAATCTTTTATGAAATATAGATGTCAATAATGGCATGTGAAATGGTAATTTGGACACAATAGTGTCGGTTAACACGATAATTCATTCGTTTGATACGGTCGACTGTAAATTCTTTGTGTAAGAGTTGTTAGAGTGCCACTGAATGGACATCGTTTAGTTATATGAATAATACTTAGGTTCTGTGGAATTCATTAAATAAATTTGTTTCAATTGATACATTTTTTTATATATTGAAAACGATTTCATTGGTTAAATTTCAACTATAAACATACTATATACCAAATGATGTTTAGCCATGTAATTTTTTTTTCAATAAGTACACACTATAATTCTTGATAAGATACTGTCAAGATGGTTTACCAATATGGTGAAATAAATCGTGTATTAATATTTACAAAACACAAGACAAAATGTACTTAAGACACAATCTCCAAACGCTTGAAGGAGGTTACACATGATGCCAAGGCTGGCTGGTACTTTGCACAGAGAGTGAGTCTGGCTGTCCAACGAGGCAACGTAGCCAGTATCTTGGGGACTGTGCCTCCTTCAAGCGCGTTGGAAGATCTGTTCTACTGTGTGGGTTGAGTTATGTTAAATTATTTTGATTTGACTTTTTGTTAATAAAAAAAGCTTGTTAGTTTGATGTGGAAGCTAAGTAAATACGGTAGACATGAAGTAATAAGTTACTAAGCTTGTCTAACAATCTATTATAAAAACATATAACATTTTAAATAATGAAATAGAAATCATTTTTATTTATTTTCAACACCCTGTAGTTAGACAGTTAGGTAGCTGTAGCTAGATAGTTAGACAGGGGCAGATTATCTACAGCTTTAAAAATGGTTGATTAGTGTTTCCTTCAAAAGTATAGAGGAATTGGGACAATGCATATGCTCTCAAGTTAAATCTACCGAGTTAATAAGAATGACATTCATGTTAAAATTTAAATTACTTAGAGATGTATTTAGGTTAAATAATGCAACTTAATAATAAAACTGTTGCAGTTGTTTGAGATTACAATAAATGTAATATTTATCTAAAATTTGATAAGATTGTTCTATTATCTATCTATTATTGGTATTATTATCTTTGAATGAAAGTATTTGACAAGCATATATAAACATATGATTTATTTCAGATATTGTTATTAATAATTGATTCTTTTTACCTTCATAAACCTTAACTTCATTTGTTAAACTGAGCTGTATGTATTAAGTATTTTCTTGGGCTTATATGAGTCATAGACATAATTAATAGTAATTTTAATCTAGCATTTGTAACTAAGTAGATAGGCAGCAGTTTGGCTCTGCCCATGGCATTGCTGAAGTCCATGGGCGACGGTAACCACTCACCATCAGGTGGGCCGTATGCTCCTCTGCCTACACGGACAATAAAAAAAATAGTAACTGTCAATATTTTTTCATTATTTCAAAAATTTTAGTTTTCCTATTCAGTCATCAAGACTGGTCACAAAAGTAGTTTTTATGGTTCTTTTTTGGTTCGGGCATTGTTGATTTTTAAGGAGATAGTCTGCTATTGTCAGCCAAAATTTTAATGTATCAGAATGTACATTTGTTTTTGTCAATTTTAAATGTACACAAGTTGTTTATCTGCTATAATTGGAACAATGCACGGCTATTGCTTTTAGCAGTAAATGAAAGGCTTATCAACTTTTATAGCATTCACAATATTTCTGGGCTGTGTTTCAATGATATTGAATAACTGTGGTGTTTAACAGGAGTCCAAAAAATCATGGTTACGGGAACATCAGTTAGGAACAGTAAAGAGGCTCTCAGGTTAACCCGACTGTACCCCAGCACTATATACTCGACTGCAGGTGAGCAAAGGAATGACTCATTAAGACACTTTCACAATTTTTATACTTACTGCATTATAATTTGTTATTATAGAGAGAATATTCAGACCATGCATTCACATTTGTTACGTAAATGTGCTGTGGACCGGTATAGGATTTACACAAATTCGCATCTCGGTTATGTTGAATTTGGTATAGTTTGTCAAAACCCACATCATCTAAGGTGGTTACTATTGTTCGTGAACATTGACAATACCAGGAATGTAACTTGTTGTGTATCATCAAGATATTCCTGGCTTGAAGAAGGACGACAGGTTATAGTGCTTCAGAAGTACCAAAGGCGGTATTAAATCAGTGATGAAGTTCACTGAATAGCATCAATATCTAAATGATTCAACACTAATGATTCATAAACAATGAGATGGTACAAATACAACCCACTAATGATTCCAGAACATGATTAATAAATTAAACTGATAAAATATGTTTTTGTTTACATCGTATTAATGATTGCCTAATTAATTAATAAATATGTGTGAAGGCTTAAACGACAAAGGGAAGATCTTCCACCGAGCGGGTGATATTGTTCGGTAGACCGACGGTCCGAATGTTGTTATTCGGAACTTGTATATATGCGCTTTATCTTGAAAATGTCGTAAGCGAGATTCAGGCATCTGTCAATTATCTTGCGTTGTATGATGGCTACCCGCCACATCACTCCCCTCCGAGACTGGAGGTCGTGTCATTTTTAGTTAGCGTTGTCCGTGCTGAGATTAGCTTGCAAGGGCCAGTGCTGCTCGAAACCTGCGGTGAGTCGAGGTTGAGCTTGAATGCTGCGTGCGTGTCGCCAGTGCTGCTCGAAGTTTGCAGTGAGTCGAAACTGAGCTGAATGCTGCGTGATTGTCGCCAGTGCTGCTCGAAGTCTGCGGTGAGTCGAGACTGAGCTTGAATGCTGCGTGCGTGTCGCCAGTAGTCCATGTGTGCAGAGCTGCCACGCCGGAGATGTGTTACCCCAAGCGTTGATGATCCGGTCGTGGGCTGCGATGAACTGTAGCGGCGTGATGAGGCAGTAAAGTTGCGTGCCGTAGGACCAGGAAGCGCGGTGAGTCGGCTGCGATGGTCCTGTTGAGGCTGCGGTGCTGGCTTGCTGTGGGACGACTGTCAATGACGTTTTATTTGCGAGAATGCAGGGGATTGTGGTAGCCGAAGTTCTTGTTGCGCTGATGATGAATCAGAAGGTTGCGTGTTCACATCACGTCGGAGGTCACCAGTTTTGGGAGTCTTAACGACGAAAGGAAAATCTTCCACCGAGCGGGTGATATGTGCTCGGTAGACCGACGGTCCGAATGTTGTTGTTCGGAACTTGTATATATGCGCTTTATCTTGAAAATGTCGTAAGCGAGATTCAGGCATCTGTCAATTATCTTGCGTTGTATGATGGCTACCCGCCACATATGTATTAATTTGATTGATAAGCGCATTATTATTATTGTAGTGTTCATTTTCGATTTTTACTGATACTTGAAAAGTAGTTACCTAAGAAATTTACAAAAACAACAAACATATTGAAAAATAAACAACACATCTATTAAATTAACTAGTTATATAGTAATTATTATTTAGTACATAAAATATATATATTTCCGATAGTTCGAAACCAGAGTCTATAAGCATTACAATCTAAATAACTCTTCTCTGTCCTTTTTAATTGATGCATAATTATCATGTGTTAGTGTGGCATTTGCAATAGCATCACTTTATGTTTCAAGGTGGGTGATGAGTGGCTTCATCCATAATTTTTTTTCAGTAATTAGCAGTAAATTCCATAAGTTGCACATATTGTAATATCGCAAAAAAGATTCCCTGGGAATAGTGCATTTTTACTGGATGAAAGGTGCCTTACAAACAAAATTTCATGATACGGGATAAATAGTTTAGACGTTAAAGTATAAACAAACAAACTCACTTTCGAATTTTTAATATTAAGTATGAAAAGATTCACGTTCACTTCAGGAATCGAATTCAGTATGTGATGAGCCTTAGCTATTTACCTTGAGACAGAACGGATTATTTATTCACGGTGATAATTAAATAGAAAAATTTTAAAAATTATCCTTATACTTGAAAATTATTATTATTTGAAAATTATGAGCTAACTAGCGGCCCGCTCCGGCTCCGCTCGGGTCTGTAATAAAAATTTCAACGATATTTGACGCTGTTTTTTTTTTTAAAGAACATTTATTGCGTCATAACTACAATAGTTAGACATATGCTGTTGCGACACTTTTTGTAATTAATAATGTGTTCTACAAAGTCGTAGTACATTATTTTATTCTATCATCAATAGTTTTCGCAGGACACGCGATGCAAAGAATATTTTAGGTAATTTTTTTACACCTTGGGTTAAATTATTGGAGTTTTAGTAAGGACCCCTAATTTTTTTCAAAAAAGATTATAGTCTATGTCACTCGGTAATAGTGTAGCTTCCAAACAGTGAAAGAATTTTTCAAATCGGTTCAGTAGTTTCGGAGCCTATACAAAACAAACAAACAAGGGACCAGCATTTCCATTGTACCTTCCAAAAAACTTAACAAATTTAAAGAGAACTACTCTTGCGGTAAATCAGGAGATGGCAGCGATTTCACTTGTTATTTTGTTCTAAATGGTCCGACGAGCTAACGGTCTACACAGTGGCGATCAACAAACCGTGACTTGTAGACATTAAAATGGCCACTTGCCCCATAACATCAAATAAGATACGAATCTTCATTACGTTAAGTTTAATTCAATGATGATGGCGAAAGTTGCGAAGCATTTAATGCCATAACGCTTCAAAGTCTGGTAAAAACAATGATAAAAGGCCGTTACCGCACTGTTTTACTGGTGGTAGGGGCTCTTGTGAGTCCGCGCGGGTAGGTACCACCACCCCGCCTATTTCTGCCGTCAAGCAGTAATGCGTTTCGATTTGAAGGGTGGGGCAGCCGTTGTAACTATACTGAGACCTTAGAACTTATATCTCAAGGTGGGCGGCGCATTTACGTTGTACATGTCTATGGGTTTCAGTGACCACTTAACACCAGGGGGACTGTGAGCTCGTCCATCCATCTAAGCAATAGAAAAAATCTTATAAATGAATTATTTTGACTGAATGACTTGGGTGGTGCAGTAATTAGCGGTCCTGACCGTTGCGCCGATGGTCGTGGGTTTGATTCCCACACCGGGCAGACATTGTGTGATGAACAGATTTGTTTGCTCTTTTTCTGGGTGTTTAATATCTATATATGTGTGTAACTTTAAACGTATATAAGTATAAATGATTGACGCCGCAGCGAATATGAAACACGTCTTTACTATTCAAATACTTATTTATTACTTAATCTTATTACACCACAAAAGTATGTTTTTCAGTCTGGTACCTTTTTTTTTATTGCTTAGGTGGGTGGACGAACTCACAGCCCACCTGGTGTTAAGTGGTTACTGGAGCCCATAGACATCTACAACGTAAATGCGCCACCCACCTTGAGATATAAGTTCTAAGGTCTCAATATAGTTACAACGACTGCCCCATCCTTCAAACCGAAACGCATTACTGCTTCACTGCAAAAATAGGCAGGGTAGTGGTACCTATCCGTGCGGACTTCTAAGAGGTTCTACCACCAGTAAAGTACCTATAACACTTCTTCTCAGTCGTACACTCCTGGTTGAGTGGTCGTGGTTATGCATGTCTTATTGCTTGGTTGCGGTTTTTGCGAGTCTTCTCTAGGTTTCTCTTATTGTGGCGGTACGTGTACATTCAGTAAGGGAACACTTAGTAGATGACTTAATCAAGTCTGTCCACCTTGTGGGTGATCGGCCGCGAGAGCGTTGACCGTTTACACTTCCTTGAACCATTAATCGTTCCAATGAGGTTGATATGTCCAAACATATTAAGGACTAGCGACTTGTCCTCGCTTCGCTTCGGAAACATTAAATTTTATTATTGATAGGCGAGTCCCGCCATGTTGCGCGCGGTACGACAATAACTGCGGGTGACGCCGCGGGGCGAAGCTAGTCTAAAAAAAGTAGCCTAAGCTACTCCTTATATCATCAGCTACCTATTAGTGAAAGTCTCATCAAAATCGGTCCAGCTGTTCCAGAGATTAGCCGGAACAAACAGACAGACAGACAAAAATTGTAAAAAATGTCATTTTGGTGTACCTATGTACTACCGTATATATTATATTCATATGCATGTAGTAAAAAGCGGTTATTTCAATATTACAGACACTCTAATTTTATTTATATGTATAGATTCTCAATTGCACACTCAAGCCATAAAACAGGTAATCCTAAATTGGTACCGGATGACCATGCGCGATTTGTTTCCAGTTATTTCTTTTGTATTTATTAGGCGTGCATCCCCATGACGCAAAGTCGATGGCTGACGAGGAAATGTGGGCGGAGCTTCTGGAGACGGCTTCGGCACCAGAGTGCGTCGCCGTCGGGGAATGCGGCCTCAACTACACCAAGGACTTCTCTGAGCCACACGTCCAGAGAGAAGTCTTCAAACGTCAGGTCGGTTTGAATGTCACTGTTAATTATAGTAATTTAATTATAGCACAAATTATCAGTGATCTAGACGGTAGTGTACATGACGCACTTCCAATCTTCTCAAGATGAATGCGGCGATGAGATAAAATTGAGATTTCGTTTTAATCCAATTTTTTTTTATTAACTTGTAGGCAGATGAGCGTACGGCCCACCTGATGGTGAGTGATTACCGTCGCCCATGGACTTCAGCAATGCTAGGGGCAGAGCCAAGCCGCTGCCTACTGCAAATTTTAATAATTCTGGGAATATATTCAGATCATATTAAAATAATGGGTCAAGTTGTTAAAGTTCTTCTCGTGTATATATTTCCGTTCTTTCTGAACTATTTAGAGAACAGATATTTTACGTGCCCTATAATCTTTCATTGAAAACAATTAAGTACCAGCTTCTCTCTCCTCTGTCTGGCAATTGATTTTCTTTAATTTGGGCTGTAGTCTAAACAAGCATTATTTTGTTTGCAAACACTTCATTTAGAAACAAAAGAGAAAATGTATTGCGTAAGATGCACTTTGAAACGCCCGAGATTATGATCTTTGTTTCACTCATTTCATAGGATGTCATTTTTTGAATAATTTAGCGATCAAGGATTATAATCTATATTTCTATACTTAATATATAAATCTACAGTGGTTTTTACGGATGTTCCGTTTTAACTACCCAACCATGCATCCGATTGACTTAAAACTTGGTATCCATGTAGAAAATACATGTACTCAATGGATAGGTTAATTTATATGAGTGTTGGACTCCTTACACCAGTTGCGGGGGCGTTAATGATGAGAATCTTTGTGGAGGTGAGAAATAATAATGTTAATTTTAAATGCCCAGCGAAGCGAACCGGTACAGCTAGTATTATATATTAATAACTAACAAAACCAACCTCAAGTTGTCGTAACTAGATTCTGGGTACGAAATGAAGGTGACCAGACGTTTAGATTTCCTTTGAAGTCCGATCGAATTCCTCCTTATATTTATCGTTTAAGAGTCCTGAGTCATCTTGTTTGGTACCGAATTAGCTTTATTGGTGTGGGCGTCCCGATTCGGGGTTGACGAGGAACCGTTTGTATTAGACGAGATGGATTCGCCGCGACTGACCTTCAAGGTCACTTGTTTATTTAGCCCGGTTTGAGGCGATTAGCGATTCTGTTGGTTTGTTTTGTGATTGAAAGAAACATTTTTTTTTATTGCTTAGATGGGTGGACGAGCTCACAGCTCACCTGGTGTTAAGTGGTTACTGGAGCCCATAGACATCTACAACGTAAATACGCCACCCACCTTGAGATATAAGTTGTAAAGTCTCAGTATGGTTACAACGGCTGCCCCGGGCAAATAGGCAGGGGTGGTGGTACCTACCCGTGCGGACTAACAAGAGGTCCTACCACCAGTAATTACACACCACAGACTACAAACGAAACTCACCACAAACCCTTTGAAATTAAAGGTCGAAATGGCGTGCGACCTAAGGAAACCGCTATTCGTCCACGAGAAGGAAGCTCAAGAAGATCTTATCAAGATACTGGACGAGTTCGGCGCCAGGCTACCGCCGGTCGTGATACACTCCTTCACCGGGACAGTCGAGCAAGGGATCCGATATATAGAAAAGGGCTATTATCTGGGTATAACAGGGTACATTTGTAAGGACAAGTCCGACGGCGGCATCAGGAGGCTGCTGTCAGAGAGGATTCTGCCACTGGACAAGCTTCTGGTCGAAACGGATTCCCCCTTCATGTACCCGAATATGAGGGCTTCAAAACTACCGTTGCACGTAAAGGAATCTCTGACTGAGAGGTAATCAGTTTGTTTGTTTATTTATGCTACGATCGTACGAATGATAAAGGCATTTACTCATTCCTGGTTTACGGCAGAAGTTCTCAGAGTGGTGGTACCAACCCGTGCGCAGTCTTAAGACGTCCTACCACCAGTTGTTACTCCAAAACCTTCTTGATTATATGACCCCTACTCTACCCTACCCTATATGACACAAGTCCACTTAAGTTGGTAAGATCTTCATCATTATCAAGTATTCAAGTTTCAAGAAGTCGGTGAAAATTACGATGAAGATTGGTGTAGACAGGGCAAGCTGATAGAAACTCCTTTAAAAATTCTAGCCGGATCTTCTCAGTGGGAAGCGATTCCAATTCGGTTGTAGCTTCATTAGCGAAGCAGCTGCTCTTGAGTTGTTGGGCCTCCTTCGGAGGCGCTCGGGCAGCTGTTTCCCACCCCTTCTGGCTGAGCCTTTGTTCGCCTACCTGTCCTGGTGAAATTGGAAAGGCCTCCGGGCTACCAGTAAACAATTAATCATAAAGAAAACCTTTAAAAACTGCCTTCTAAGCTACGTGGAGCAACTTCACTTCGACAAAGTGGCACGACACGAGAACCCTCTTATCGTGGCCGCCGGTAACTAAATTCCCGATCCTGCGGACAGAATGGAAAGCAGTGGACGTCGCCCCAAACACGTCATTTCGGATCTTCCCGATCCACTAATGGCGCTTTTAGGTACCTCAAGCACCGGTCATCGTTCTCGTCGAAGCCGTCGCTTGCGACGAAGGGCTCGGCGAGTAAATTAACCCTCAGACACAGCCCACTGAGTTTCTCGCCGGCTCTTCTTAGTGGGTCGCGTTACGCTGAAATAGCCTCTCAAGGCTATCAGCTTAGGTAGGGAAAAAAAGAGCATCTTGAAGCGCGTTCACTAATGCTCATGGAGAATGTAAGCAGTTTATTGGGTCTGGTGGTAGGAGGTATTGCTGGACGCGCATGAGTGGGGCCGCCTATTTCTGTCGCCAAGCACTCATACCTTTTACTTGGAAGAATGGTAGACCGCTGTTGTGCTAAAATTGGAATCTGGACCCCATGTCTCGAGATGGGTGTCGGTAATCACGCTTATTATGTCCATGGACTCTACCTATGTATTCACTTAACATATGTATGTAACTATACCGTTGTAATTGTAACTATACCGCTATAACTATATATAAAAAGGTATTGTAGACACGTTTTTTTTTCTTTGATGGGTTGACGAGCTCACAGTCCACCTGGTGTTAAGTGGTTACTAGAGCCCATAGACATCTACAACGTAAATGCGCCACCCACCTTGAGATATAAGTTCTAAGATCTCAGTATAGTTAAACGGCTGCCCCGCCCTTCAAACCGAAACGTATTACTGCTTCACGGCAGAAATAGGCAGGGTGGTGGTGCCTACCCGCGCGGACTCACAAGAGGTTCTACCACCGTATGATGGCGGCAAGCAATTGAGCGCGTTACAGATCAATGAACTTCGTGAATCGTTACTGCACGTTCCAACGCAACGAGCCGTGCGCCCTGCCCGCCGTGGTGGAACTGGTGGCTGGCTTCCTGGCCACCAGCCCTGCGGACGTGGCGCTGGCCACCGCCTTCAACGCCCTCAAGCTCTTCGGGCTGAGCCAGTGAACGTCAGGTACGTCGGCGTTGCCAGCTCAGGTAGCGGTGTTGCAAGATTCAAAAAATATACAGAAAGGATTTTTTTAATTAGATAATTAATTAGATTGTGCATCTGAGCTGGCTGTGTTAGAATTGTGTAACACATTATCTACAGCATGTCCATTTGGGTTATAATTAAAAACAGCAATAACCGAAATATAAAATCAGTAGCTATATTTATTTAGTCTTCTGAGGATATATTTTAGGAGAACTCTTACAGTAGTTTAGCGCGTCCGTATAGTGCGTTCAAAGCAGACACTATAGACAGTGTCATTTACAATGTTAAAGAAGAGATGTAAGCTAGAATTATATAATCAATAGCGGAAATATTAGAAATCAGATTACCGAATGAATTTATCGAGGATCTGTTTTACACAATTCTAACGTCGAGTGAACTTTTTATACTAAAGAATCGGAATTCACGAGCTTTGATTGGATCATCGTACAGGTTGTATGTAGTGCCTTACTTGCAATAAGATTGTATGGAATATATCAGAACAATAACGCGAAGAAATTATTTACCTATTTACAAAAGTTATTTTTTCTTTCTTCTTTTGAAGTAAATGAATGTTTTTGAAAATAAACTTTGACGTCATCCTTGAAAATGTTTGAAATCGAAATTTGAAACGCATCTCGAAATGAAATACTCAAAATAATCATCGAAAACAAAAAAAAATCGACCATTTTGTGGATAAAACTAATTGTTACTAATGGCGAAATTTCGAGGCTAAGGGCGTGTTTATACTTGACTGATTTAATTTTGCGATTATATTCTTTAAGACTGTGAGATTAAGTGTGGTTTAGCGGTGTAAGCGATTATCATGTTTTGACGTTAGATTCAAATTCTGAAATCGTAAAATAAAAATAGTTTCAATCATAAAGCACAGATCGCGAATATCTAAAAATGATTTACGTTTTCCTGAAAGTTTTGTACTTGATAGAAATGTGCTTTTGCATGTCAAAGGTTAGATAGCGTGTTTTCTGTGTATCGACATTGTCAATGTCACGGGTAATGGTTGACTTAAGCCGCACACGCTCAACTGTCAAAGCTAAAGGCGGTGTTCCGAAAGCATTACAAGCATAGCAGCATTGTCATTATCGATGGGTTTTTTTTGAACACAAAATAGTCTACGTTTTTGTCAGTCAATATAACGCGCCCTATTTTTTAACTAACATTTTATTATCTTGCCAATGTGTATTTTAGTTTTAATGCCTCTCTAAATATGTTATGCCGTTTGATGGACTGATTTATAGAGACCGTGGATATCGGAATTATATTAAATGGTTTTTTTTTAATAATTATTATTAAAAAATGTTTAAAACCATGTATTTTTACGTCACACGGAGCGTACTAAGAATGCTCTCGAGTCCAAGAATATGCCATTTAATAAATAAATAAATAAAAAACAGTAATGTAAAGAAAACACTTGTTTTTAAAATGCATAATGTTATAAAAGTTAATTTTTGTTATTAAATTTGTTCGTATAACTGATATAATTTATCTTTTTGCCATTTAATTCGCATGCCGATTAAGAAACGCCTAAATGGTTCTAAGAATTATTGGTCGTTATTATTCAGAAGTTTGGAAATCGTTTGATATTAGAGGCGATTATAGTGTTTTATTGACGGTGATTAGTGGCATTTTCGATTGCATTTCTCATGCGAATTATAGGGTAATATTTAATATTGATAATATTATGTCAGTTTGTATGAATAATATTTTATTTTTATTATTATTAATTTTTTTTTGAAGCTTCGTTTTTTGTGTAATTATGCACACGTCTTTATGAGCAGTATGGTAGGAACAGACTTTTGATCTCAGAATTGACTAGAACATTATTTATTAAAACTAACAATAGTGTTTAAAAAATCTTTTTTCGTTATTAAAGTAAAACCCTAAACATTTTATTGTCCTATGTAAAGGCCCAAATGTTTTGTTTTTTTTAAATGCATAATAGTGAAAATAATGGCATATCGTTTTTAATTATAGCATAGATTTTATATAATATAAAATAAAATTGTGACTTAATGTACGAGCAAAAAAGTCATTGGTATATTGATTCATTTGACATTCAAAATTGGAAGTGTGCAGCTTTAAAATAAGCCCCTCAAACCCACGTGAGCTAATCATAAGACTGAGGTAATCGAATAACCCTTCCAGTAATGAAGGGGGTGAAAAAAATAAAACGCGTAGTAAATTATGTTCAAAAATTTTTTTTGCGCAGTGTATTACTTACTGTGCACAATCCAAAAATCAGCTGATATCCGGGGTCAATGGCCGTCCATGACTCGTGTTGGTACTTCAGTTTATTAATTGAATATTTTTCATATCGATTTTTATCAGCGTAATCGACCTTATTAGGTATATCAAATCACATACGCAATATTGAATGTTAAATGTATTCTTAAATTAATTATTTAGATTGTTTAACACAGTTTGTTGTTACCATATTGTGAACGCACGGTGTTCGGTGTTGTAGATGTATTTTTTTTTTTTTGTCTCCGCGCGGAGATTTTCCTATTTCGAATTGTTTATTGTCTATAATCGAATATATTGTAAATAGATTTAGGATTAGTAATTTAAAAATGTCATTGAAATATCAAAAAGAGAATTGTGATCGGAAATAATGTTGATAGTCGAGTATTTTGTAATAGTTTTTTTTGTATCAATCACAATTATTTTTTTGTTATTTTAATCAAGCTTAGGGCTGGTTTACGGAGAGGGAAGTTTATCGAATGTGAACATGCGAGAATCGAAATTGTCATGACATTTAAACCATGGATGATTTTTGATGATCCAAATTTTGACAAGTCTTTTTTATAGTATAGTTAAAATCTGTTAAAAATTAAGGAAGTTAAAGTACTTTAATTTCACGCTAAACAGAGAACTGTATATTTTGTACAGTGACGTCAGCGTTCAAAACGATGACAAACTATGAAGCCTTCTCAATCAAATAACGTTTAAATCTCAGAACTTGATTGTTCTATTTTGATTATTTCTGAGAAAAAAAAAAGTTTTATATTTAATTGTATTCGTCACAAGAGTACCTACAGTTTACAATCAATTATCACGACGCGCTCTCTCATATTACAGTACATTTTATATTAAATATGTATACACTTGACGGTCGTATTCAGGTGGTAATTCTCGTTCCGTAAATCAGTCTGTAGTTATAAGTTTATTTGTCGCTTGACTTTTGTTTTGCTTTCGAATACTGAAACTTGAATTCGTTTGACGAGTTGGAGAGTTATTTCTACGCGTCTATGAGTTTAAACTCGTGCCTCGTGGAAGTAGGAAGGGTGTAAAATAAATATAGACGCTTGAAAGGCAAACGTGACTAAGCGACAATGCGTGAACTATACAGTAGACTAATTTAAAGTTGAAATACCTGAAAACAAATTTTATTTTAACGAATCTAGCTAGTAGCTGTAGGACTGAAATGATTTTAATAGACCTAGAAATATATATTTTTTGCACATCGAATATGGTTTTTGCATATCATTTATGTACAAAGCAGTTATTGTCGCTTAGTCACGTTTGCCTTTCAAGCGTCGATATGATCTTTGATGTTTATATATTAGCTGCGGCTACTTCAAGTTCACGGAACTTTGGCGTCGTCTAGTTTGATTTAATCTAGTCGATTTTTGCTGTCAGTTAAGATCTACAGCGAAAGCATTTGCTTATATCGAACCTTGAGGACCTGAATGTCCTGTGAGCGCATCCTTTTCCGTCTGGAATAAACCTTTAGGAGGCTACCAACGAATACGTAGGAGAAAAAATTGCTATTGCAATGTTTGGAGTTGGCCCAAAATGTGTTGAAGGCTCGAAATGTAAGCCATTTATATTTTCAACTAGCTGACTCGGCAGACTTCGTAGTGCCTCAATCGATAAACAAAAGACCTGAACTTTTGTATAAAATAAACTTAAAACAAACAAAAGGAATCCGTCCGACGGGGGGACACCTGAAAGGAAAAACAAAATTGTTATTTTTATTTAATTCCGAGCAGTTTCATATTTATCAACCTTTTAAACCTTCTCTGGACTTCTACAAATAATTAAAGACCAAAATTAGCCACATCGGTCCAGCCCTTCTCGTGTTTTAGCGAGACTAATGAACAGCGATTCATTTTTATATATATAGATATAGATAACAGATACATTGACGTTATTGAATAGTATGTCAGCGGTTGTTGGGTTGTTTGCACTCGGCATCCCAGTACTACCCTTTCGATTGTACCCCAGTCCAACCAAGCTGAAGTGGCGTGGACGAAGATTGGCGCGAAATTCGATTTTCAGTGTTCGAAATCTGAATATTAATTTAATGCTGTAGTCACAACGAAATCAAAGACTGCGAGTATTAAAAATGATTAAAACATGTAATAAATGTGTGACATTATTATAAAAATTGTATTTTGTTTGAAAATCGAGTGATGCAAAATCAAACGCGTTAGTTTTTTTTTTATAAACTGGCAACACTTTGTCTAACTGTCCGGTAAACTAGTATGCGATCCCAATGTCTTCTTGCAGCTACTAATACCTGAATATTCAGTCTGTAGCAGGGTTTTACGTGTATTACCGAAGCGTTTGCTTTTTAATTTCTCGATCGTTATTCTTTTTCAAATGTACCCTCCTTAATTATTAAGGGTATAAGTTATTTAATTCGTTTATTTTTTGACAATCACTTGTTTAGTTATTTAAGACGTGATTATTTATATTATCGAAACTGGAATTTATTAATATATTTACGTTCCAGTGGTAAGTTCGTGTTTTTTTGTTTTTGCAATAAAATATTATTATAATAATAATCATAGTGCCTTCTACAGACGTCCTCTTGTGATACAAAGTTATTTTTTGTATAAATAAAAATCTATTAGATATTGTACAGTTTTATTTCTTTTCAAATATACAAAATTGATGGAAAGCGTCGCGTTTTATTTTTGTTTGGAATTTGAAATGTGTTTTCTTGTATTTTTAAAAAAAACGAAACATTTTTTTTCTTCTCCTTTTTAAAAGAATTCAAAAAGAGCACATGCAATAAATTAGTCTAATCCGATATACCTGTAGATTGAAGATGAGTAATAAGATGTGACTGAAGAAGGGTAATCTATACTAATATCTAAATCTACAGTGGTTTTTACGGATGTTCCGTTATAACTACTGCACCATGCATCCGATTGACTTGAAACTTGGTATCCATCTGGAAAATACATGTACTTAATGGATAGGCTAATATTTATATGAGTGTTTGGACTCCCTACACCAGTTGCGAGGGCGTTAATGAGAAGAATATTAGTGGGGTGAGAAATAATAATGTTAATTTTAATTGCCCAGCGAAGCAGACGGGTACAGCTAGTAGAATAAAAATAACCTTTTTTTACATTGATCGACTCGATGGTGCCGTAGTCTACGTCTCTGACTGTTGTACTATGGGTCGCGGGTTCGATTCACACACCGGTCAAACATTACAACAAATAAATAAAACAACATTCGTATTAAATGTAAAATAATACGTATAATTTGGAGTCGAAATTTAACAAATAACATTTATACTAATAATTAAGTGGCTAACAGAAATATTCAACTTATATAAATATACATAAACATTAAATATACATACGGCTACAAAATCGTATCGTTCAAAGATGTACAGTCAATGGACCACAGCAGCGACGTCTGTACAAACAAACTGGACTGAAGATATGCATAAGGACTATATGCCTACGTATGACGTAGGCGGCTAAGTTCAACAATAACCGATACAAGAGTCAATATGTCCATAGATATCACAGCGTGTGTCTCGTCTTTGAGTCCTTTGAGGCATCATTGAGGTTCGGTCCAAGCTTCAGGTATTGAGGTAGGGACGGCCCCACAAGTTTTACTCTTAAAACATAAGGACAACATTTGATATTTTTAAGAGTAAGCAGAAGTTGACATAACTAAATTCAATTTCATACTGTAGGCACGGCTGTTTCAATTTAAGAACGATATTTATTTGCCGAGGCTTCATTTATTTCAAGTCAGGGCTGTACAACTGTACAAGGTTAGAGTGCCCATATTAATTAAATTATTTCACCTTCCAAGGATAAATAATGAGCATAAATTGTCATACATTCTTGAAGTTGCACTTCTCTTGACGCCTCTCAAAAAAGGTGGTGCATTTTTGGTGCGTGACGAAATTACGAACGTCCGTATAACAGATTACTCATTTTAGTGTAGAAATTTGTTATCAATATTTGAGGAGCGGCAATGTACTGCGAAACAGTCACGCTCCTAATCACGTCATCGTGGTTCGTTGACCTCGCGCGTCCTAATTTAATTTCCGTTACATTGCGTCAAAAAAATTCGCGCGTTACAAAATTTTCATGATGATTCATGATGATCACGCGTGTTCCTTCACAACCACCACCTTGTTTGTTTGGTCTTTGAAATTGCAAGTTAAAATGAGGGTAAAATCTCTTCAATGTAAGGTAGCCTCGATTCTTTGTTTCAGATACAATAATAGCAATACACTTTATATTTACAGGAACATATGATAAATTTCGCGAACAACACTATATCGGACACAGTTTAGGCACAAAAAAACTCCTTTAAAATCTAGTCTGATCTAACTTTTATCCAAATTCCTGACGACGGCGGGCGGCGGCGACGATAGCACTTTCTTGGACAAGCGGACCTGCCCCGACACGGGGTCCCGCCCGAAGTACTTCACCTGGATCTCCGAGCCGACTTCCAGCCCCAGAACCGAGGGGTGCATTATCTGAGGGTGGGAATAAAATTATTTTACTAAAGCATAGATTATTCGTGGAAGTTTCTCGAATACGACCTCCACACATGTTCACGCCGCGACTTGAACGTTACAACTATCTAAGCGACAGATTTGTTAAGACATTATTTATTGTAGTGAGTGAATATTTATAACTACTGATACCATGCACCCACGCTTTTTTTACACTATTTTTAATTCTAATTTATTAAAATTTATTTTCAATTTTTTAGTTGGATTTTCTATAAAATCGTATTTTGTTAGTTTTTTAACTATTATTTATTTTTAAATTTTTAGTTGAATTTTAATTTTTTCAATTTTATTTTTAATATTGAATTGTCATTTCGAGTTAATCCAACGTTTTGAAGGGGGTCAAAATCATGTTCAAAGATTCTGTTACATACTAACGTACATACTTCTGAAGCTAATAAAAGCGAATTTAAAAATACCCTCACCTTCCTGTGGTCCAACTGCGTGTTGTGCACTAAAGCCGGACTCATGCCCGGGTACAGCGTGACCAGCACGCCTATATCCCGGACCTCGACCACTCTGGCCTTGTATATGGCCCCGAACTCCAGCTCTGGGGTCCGCTCGGAGGCGAGCCAGGCCGCCATGCGCGAGCGGGCCTCGTCCATGGCGGGCCGGGAGGGCGCGAACACGCTGTACTTAGTCTCGTCCACTGGCGTCACCTGCAGGAAGAATATCAGATCATCAGGGATCGGTAGTCGCCGTGGCTAAGGGCGAATTTACATTACGAAATTAGTGGCATGAAATTAATTACGTGACATTAGTTTTACCAGCAGTTTCACGTGTAATTTTTAATACTTTCGTAATGCATGCATTAATTTCATGAATGCAAATTAGTTTTTTGGTGAAATTAGTGTCATGCAACTAATTTCAAAGTGTAGACGCGACGTGAAACTACTGTCGCGAAAGCGCCTGCGGACGTGTGTATTTTTAGTTCGGACGCTAGTTAAAGGATAGTTCGTTTTAGTTAAAAGATAAGACGTCCGGTCCATTCGTGTGTAGTGATGCGCCGGTGTTCGAATCCCGCAGGCGGGTACCAATTTTTCTAATGAAATACGTACTCAACAAATGTTCACGATTGACTTCCACGGTGAAGGAGTTACATCGTGCAATAAAAATGAAACCCGCAAAATTATAAACGTCTTATCCTTTAGGCCACGACGACTTACCTGCACGCCGGTCTCAACGTAAAGCTTCTTCAAGTTGGAGCCGCCGAGCCCGAGGAGCTTGGGCCGCTTGTGAGCTTCCACTTCGATCTCTTCAATCACTGGCATGTTCTCTTTTAATCCTTGTCTGCTAACGAAATCATTTGATTAGATATTGTGTTGAATAAATGAATGAATGAATATAAGTAAGCTAAGCTAGAAAGTCGTGGGAGCGTCGTGCCCCGTCTCTGGGAAACATCGTGCCCTGTATCGGGGGAGGGTCATGCTCCGCACCGGTTGGGCGTCGTGTCCCGCACCGGTTGAGCGTCGTGCCCCGCACTGGCTGAGCGTCGTGCCCAGCACCAGAGGAGCGTCGTGCCCCGCACCGTGTGAGCGTCGTACCCCGCACCGGTTGGGCGTCGTGCCCACATTGGTGGAGCGTCGTGCCCCGCACCGGTTGGGCGTCGTGTCCCGCACAGGTGGAGCGTCGTGCCCCGCACCGGTTGGGCGTCGTGCCCCGCACCGGTTGGGCGTCGTGCCCCGCACTGGCTGAGCGTCGTGCCCCGCACCNGCTGGAGTGAAGATATTGAAATGTTAATGTTATACTTATATTTATTTAGTAAATTTATTCTTTAGGCGTGCTTTTTTATTCTTTAGTAACATTTAACTCGCGACAGATTCGTTACGGCTAGAGAGCAAAAATACAATTTAGGAAGAGCGAGAGTGAGACAACAGATAGAGTGTCTCGCGAACCACTCGACCGTGGAGAGAGGGAGAGAACAAAGCGACCTTGGTCGTTTCTCCTATACACAGCATTCCTATTACAAGAGAAAAAGGATTTAAGAATGAAAAATGAAGAAAAGTACGATACTGCAAACCGCAGGAGATGTTTCACTTCTTTTACATGCACCAAGTTGCACGCGCATTTTTTTAAAAATCTTATATAATAGTTTAAATGTCTTAGAGTCTAGACGACTTACCTGCACGCCGGTCTCAACGTAGAGCTTCTTCAAGTTGGAGCCGCCGAGCCCGAGGAGCTTGGGCCGATTGTGAGCTTCCACTTCGATCTCTTCAATCACTGGCATGTTCTCTTTTAATCCTTGTCTGCTAACGAAATCATTTGATTAGATTTTGTGTTGAATGAATGAATATGAGTTAAGTAAGCTAAGTGGGAGCGTCGTGCCCCGTCTCCGGGAAACATCGTGCCCTGTATCGGGGGAGGGTTGTGCCCCGCACCCGGTGAGCGTCGTGCCCCACACCGGGTGAGCGTCATGCTCCGCACCGGTTGGGCGTCGTGCCCCGCACCGGTGGAGCGTCGTGCCCCGCACCGGTGGAGCGTCGTGCCCCGCACCGTGTGAGCGTCGTGCCCCGCACCGGTGGAGCGTCGTGCCCCGCACAGGTTGAGCGTCGTGCCCCGCACCGTGTGAGCGTCGTGCCCCGCACCGTGTGAGCGTCGTGCCCCGCACCGGTTGGGCGTCGTGCCCCGCACCGGTTGGGCGTCGTGCCCCGCTCCGGTGGAGCGTCGTGCCCCGCACCGGCGGAGCGTCGTGCCCCGCACCGGCGGAGCGTCGTGCCCCGCACCGGTTGGGCTTCGTGCCTCGCACCGGTTGGGCGTCGTGCCCCGCACCATTTGGGCGTCGTGCCCCGCACCGTTTGGGCGTCGTGCCCCGCACCGGTTGGGCGTCGTGCCCCGCACCGTTTGGGGGTCGTGCCCCGCACCGTTGGAGCGTCGTGCCCCGCACCGGGTGAGCTTCGTGCCCGGTGTGAGTCGTGCCCCGCAGCCCTGGGTGCGTCGTGCCCCGCTGACCTGGATGCGTCGAGGCATTGGTTCATGATGTCGATGATCTTGGCCTTGGCGTCGCAGGCCCGCTGCACGGCCTCCATGACGACGCGGAGCGGCAGGCCGGCCAGCTTGATGTCCGCCTGCAACGCCGTGATGCCCTTCTTCGTGCCGGCCACTTTGAAGTCCATATCGCCCATGTAGTCTTCTATGCCCTGAGAAGGATCAAACTAAACATTATAACGATATTAACTATGTAAATTGTATTAAATAAATATTTTCGCTGCCACAACCTTTATAACTGGCAAGACGTCTATGACGCACATGTCCAACCTGTTCGCTTCAGCATTTTCAAACTGAGCTTAATGTTACACTTTAGAGTTATAAATGAGGTATTATTACCATTATTCCCGGAGCTCTTATCCAAAGTTGACTTCAATGCACAGAGAATATATTTAAGATAGCGAAATCTAATTTCTAGCTTCCACCAATTATAGGCGAAACTCATTATCTTTAGGTGTCGTTGGTGACCTGAACAGACTTGGCAAGTTGTTAGATATTGACCCATTTTATTCCTCTATCACAGAAGTGAGACGTCAGCTTAGTGCCCGACTTTTTCAGGGTGATGACGGGACAGGGGGTGCGGGGACATGTGCCGGTGATGTGTAGCACAACTGATTTTTATTAATTTGTGACATTTCTATATAAGTGTACATTTAAATTCGTCTGGTGTATTCCTCCTTTGCTTATGTTGTTTCTTGCTGGCTGATTGTTTTTATTTCTATGTTTTTTTTTTTCTCTCTTTTGTTTAGTGTCTCGTAGCGATCTGTTTTTCAATTAAGAATGAGCTATTCCTCTGTCTGATTTATTCCTAATAGATATACATATTTATATGTTTATAAACAGAATCAGATGTCCAGTGACCCCTTCATCTTTTATTGTTAATTTCTGTTCTGTAAGGTAGGTATACTGTGCCTCCTTAATCTAGAAAACTGCACTGCTCCTGTGCCTCCTAGGTCCGATGAAAACATCAGGAAAGACAAGAAAATAAAAAGACCAATCACCTTAAAAAAACACATTCAGAGAACCGGCGGAATAAAGAAGGCAATCAAGGAATTAAAAATTAAAAAGGACTGGATGCTACGCGTAAAAACTGAAAGTGGAAACGTAAAGTAAAAGACCTGAATTCTTAAAAACAGCTTCAGACTATTATCGCAACCTATACAAAAATATCAATCCTTGTCGAGGTCTTAATCCATGCAACCAAATTTTTTTTGAAAGATATTAAAAATACAATTTTTAAAAAACACTATATAAAAATAGATTGCCGCTGATGGCGGTATCTACGACACAAGGCACCAGTGGTTAGGACTCCAGAGTGAGAAACCTCCTCACAATGCTTGCAGTATCGAGGATAACTGCTTTCTGTATTAGGCCCTAGACCCAGCTGGATAACGAAAGTTCCTTAAGATGTTGATCGAAACTTTTCGCTATCAAGCCGTGTACCGACACAACTATTGGAACAATGATGGTTGAGTCAACATGCCACACGGCGATAGTCTCGTGGGCCAGGTCTAAATATTTTATTAATTTGTCCTTTTCTGCCTTCACGAGGTTCTCGTCATGAGGAATGGTGACATCAACCAATACTGTTCGACGCGCAGATCGATCTATTATCACAATATCAGGTTTATTGGCAACAATATACCTATCCGTGATAATAGATCGGTCCCAGTAGAGCGTAACATGACCATTATCAAGAACTGGTTGAGGTTGGTATTGGTAATAAGGTACAGCAGAATCAAAAAAACCATATTTCAGAGCAAGTTGTTGATAGATAATCCTAGCCACTTGGTTTATGTCTATTATGCAAGTACTCGCCCTTAGCAAACCTAGAACAGCCAGAAACAATACTATTATTGTTAGCCCGTCGTCATCGCAGTGTCACGCAGTGTCTCGAAGAAAGCACGCGCCGCCCGTCGGTCGTTGCCTCTCGCGGACTCGTAATTTTCCACGTGTTATATCTACCCTCCCGTGATAATAATTTTGTGATCGATAAAATGATACTAAAGTATTCAATATATATACAGTGATAATAAGAGTTTTAGTGTGTTGTTTAAATTGTTTCTGACTATAGGAATAAAATGAGTACCCAAACGTTAGCTAACTGCCCCAGTCACGCGAAAGTTACACAAATTACGATATTCCCAAAAAAAGACCAAACTATTGTAATTGACGCTATAGAAAATGTGAAAATTAAAGGCTGCGCATAAGTCTTAGGGAAGGCTATAGATCCAGCTCAAATAAGGTTTTTATCTAGAATTTCTAATAACCGCATATGCGTATATATTTGTTTTCAAAATCTATAGCTGACGATATCGTTGAAAATAAAAAATATATAACCGTACCACAAGCTACCAATTCGACCACTGATGAATGGAAACAAACGCATCATTCTCTCAAACGAATGTCCAATTATCCCTCACTCTGAGATAGAAACAAAACTGAAGGAAGTAAGAATCAATCCAATGTCGCCTATATCTTTTTTGAGGGCCGGTATCAACGATCCTGGCTTTCGCCGTCAACTCTTTGTAATTATCGAAGATTTTTACCGCCTCCCAGAAAAGATCTTCATAGAATTCGAAGACACCCTACCGGATCTATCTATCGTCGGTTACCATGACCTGTTTCGTATGTAAGAGTGAGGGCCATATTGCTTCGAAATGTCTTCAAAGCGAGTTAGGTATAACTTCTCCAATTGATCAAATTAAAGAAAACAGCGTGTCACAAAATGAATCTTCTAAATTTAAACGGCCACATCCACCTACTGAGTTTTTTACAGCCGATGAGCCCCGGGTACTTGAAACAGAGACCCCGGAAGAGACTATCACCGACTACGACAGCAACACTCTTTCACAATCAAGTTCAGAAGAAGTCATGAAGAGAAACAGTGTTAAAAAACTTAGGAAGTCACCCCAGATCGACTTAGATTTACAAAACTGAAAAGATATCGAACATTTCTTATCAAGCTCTGTCAAACCCTACCCACTGACAGGAGTTCAAGTAAGGAATTATCTGGATCATACCTATGGTGTCAAAGACATCGAAGAAATCACTGCTAATTACACTGAGAACATCGATGATTTAATTAAGCTTTTTAAAGACTTAATTGTCATTATTGTAAGTGGTTCTGTTAAAAATAGAGCTACTCGTATTGTGTCTAAACTTAAATCTATTAAAAAAAAACAAAATGTGTGCAATTCACACGTGGTAGAAGTGAAACCTTCCAAAATTAAAATACAATTATCCTAAACGTCTTAAGTATATGTAAAATTTTGTCATTAGTAAATAATTGTAAGGTAGCGCCCTCTATGAATTGATATTTTAATTTCACGTATAATCCTAAATTAAAATTCACTACAAGAGCTTTCATACACACGTTAGTATTAAAAAATCTCACAGATGGCGCTGTATTAAATAGTATGTATATTTCTGTCTCATTCTTTGCTGGCTTCATCCTACATATTTTTGTATTTGTGTCTCTTACCGGTCATTTTTTCCGTTGCATCCGGTTTGAAATCACAACGATTCTAAAGAAGTTTTCACTTCAATAGACAATAAGTATAATAATATGTGTAATAAGCGTAAAGTCAACAAATATATTATAAATTAAAAAAATGTACAGTGGAAGAGCAGTAGTATTAGTCCTAAATTATGTAAATTAGAATCATACTTAGAGAGAAAATCCATATTTGTATATGGAGACATGGTTGTCATCTGAGAAAAAAGTAAGTGTGTCCGGTTTTTATTCTTTTAGGAAAGATAGAGAGGATGAGCACGGAGGGGTTGCCATTTTTGTACATAATTCGATTAAAGCAAAGTACTACAAATATTTCGGACTGTCGGATGAAACTCATTTGTATACAAATTATTAGTTTTAGTAAAATTAAGAACATTATAGCTATTTATTCACCACAAAATGTCAATGCCAGTAGATCGAAATATGATAATTTATTTAGCTTCTTTGATCGTAATAACAATTGTGATAGCGGGAGATTTTAATGGGCATCACGCGGCGTGGTCCTATAAAACTGATACTAGGGGTCGTCTCATCGCGGAGGCAAGTATAGATCATAATTTCGTGTACTTAAACGACGGCGAACATACACGATTTGCAATGCATAACGGTGAAGCTGTCTTATCTGCGGACATCACCTTTGCGAGCTCAGATATAGCCCTAGATTTTGACTGGGCTGTAACAAACGAATGTTTTGATAGTGATCACCGTTTAAAACTCTACTAAAACTACACGATTTATTTAGTTATGTGCCACCAAGCAGTAAACGCAATATAAAAAAAAACATGTGTGCAATTCACACGTGGTAGAAGTGAAACCTTAAAAAATTAAATACAATTATCCTAAATGTCTAATGTATATGTAAAATTTTGTCATTAGTAAATAATTGTAAGTCATCTTTTATAGTATGAGGTAGCGCCCTCTGTGAATTGATATTTTAACTTCACGTATAATCCTAAATTAAAATTCACTACAAGAGGTTTCATACACACGTTAGTATTAAAAAATCTCATAGATGGCGCTGTATTAAAAAAACACTACTCTGAGAACGTTTAATGTGTTCTATCTCATTCTCTCGCCGGCTGAATCCTATACATTTATGTGTTCATAGTTCATATGTCTATGGAATTATTCTTTCGTTTCATCGAATTTAAAATCACAACGATTCTAAAGAAGTTTCCCTTCAAAAAATGCAGACTGGCATTTATATGAACAAGAAGTGGGAGCAAGCTGTGTGGATTTTGCGTTAAATCACGATTTGCAGGACTGCTACGATAAGCTCCTCGTAACTATTAACAGTGCGGCTGATAAAGCTATACCCTGGACTCTCCCTACAGAAAACCCACATTCAAAATTTAATCCAAAATGTAAACTTTTAATGATACCAAAACCTAAACCTAAACCTAAACGGTGAGCTCGTCCACGCAACTAAGCAAAAAAAAGAGATCCACAGAAAAAAAAATAAAAACAATATTGTCTGTGGACAAGTTTTATTTGCACTGCACTACTTAGTTCGCTGTGTGTAGAGTGCGGCGGCAGGCGGCAGTGAAGTGCGCGATGTTGGAGGTGTTAGCGGTGCTGGTAACGGCGCTGCTGGTCCCCGCGGACGCGGAGCGGGCCGTGGTGCGGGGCGCAGTGCGACTGGGAGCCCTGTTCGCGGTGCACGGAGCGCCCGCGGAGGCCGGCGCTCGCTGCGGGCCCGTGCGGGAGCACTACGGAATCCAGCGCGTGGAGGCAACACTGCGGGCGTTAGATGCAATCAACGCGGACGGATCGCTCCTGCCGGGACTGCAGCTGGGCGCCGAGCTCCGCGACTCGTGCTGGGCGCCGTCCACCGCGCTCCGAGAGACCATCGAGCTTGTGCGAGACGCCATCGCCCCAGCACGTGCGCGTCAGCACTCGCCAGCAGCCTCCGCCGCTAACTGCACTTCGGTATACGATATGCTTTATGCTCTTATCGGTTTTTATCACGGTTTTTATCGATGATATATTTATTAGCACGTTCCCTATTATTAATCCTGTTTGATCGTTTCCAACACAATCTTCAATCTTCATTCCATTTGATTCAACCATTCAATCATTCGACGGCCCCTACGTACAAAACGTCACGTCAAAAATGGTGGTTTACAGGAGAGCGTTTTAAAGTTTCAATCTGATCTACAATTAAATCATAAAAGTAACTTCTGTCTTTTCTTTTTTTTTTATTGCTTAGGTGGGTGGACGAGCTCACAGACCACCTGTTGTTAAGTGGTTACTGGAGCCCATAGACATCTACAACGTAAATGCGCCACCCACCTTGAGATATAAAGTATTCAATTTAGGCCGGTTCTAATGGAATAATAATTATTTATAGTTTCCTCGATTTTCCCCGAAAAGTAGTTATATGACTCTGTCTACCATAACTATGAAATAGGATCATAAACGTTTAAGTCTTATATGTATGTTTGTACGTGGGAAATGTTAAAACATTTTTTTTAAGAAGAAACAAAATAAATATGAAAGAAATAAAATCTATACAGATCAAGATATAAAAAATATTCATATTCTAATCTAATGTCTTACATAAATTTACAACACAACTTTGGTCTTATTAAGTATTTTAAAGTAAACTAGCTGGCAGACTTGGTAGTGCCTCAATCGATAAATAAAAGAACTAAACTTTTGTATAAAATAAACTTAAAACAAACAGAAGGAACCCGTACGACGGGGGGGACATCAAAGGCAAAACAAAATTGTTATTTTTATTTAATTCCAAGAATTTTCATATTTATCTACCTTTTAAATTTTCTCTTGACTTCTACAAATCATTCAAGACCAAAATTAGCCAAATCGGTCCAGCCGTTCTCGAGTTTTAGCGAGACTAACGAACAACGATTCATTTTTTATATACAGTCAAACCTGGATAAGCGCGAGTTCAAGGGAGCACAATCTCATTCTCGCTTATAGAGGTTTCTCACTAAACCGAGTTTCTCGCTAATGCACACTCTGAATTTCATTTCGCGATTTTCCGGATTCAAACGCATTCACTATTTTAAGTTTATCACTTAATGACAGTACTTTAATTTTTCGATTTGACACGATGCATAACAGAAGTTTCCTTCGCAATTGATTAACGATAAACTGAGTAAGTCCGACAAACAGGCCGGTACACAGGCACACGTGTCCATTCGAAAAGAATGCGATAAAATTGCAACGTTATTTAGTTCCACGAAATAGAATAGGTTCAATATTGACGAGAAAATAATACAAAAACAATGGTAGGAAGTTCCACAAAAGTTAAGAATGAGTCATAAAATAGCAGATGTTAAATTTGTAATTTGTTTTGTCATTTGTTGCTCCTAAATAATATAAATAAATAAAGTTCGACTGTCGCTTATAGAGGTATAGATAAGTAGCAGTCTCACTTACGGAGGTCCATGAGGGAAAAACGACTCTCTCTTACAGAGGTTTCTGTTTCTCGCTAATAGAAATAGAGGTTTTGGGAGCTTAAAATGACGGGTCATAAGTACTCCGCGTAAATTACATTAAGTTTGACAAGTCTGCTTCCGCATGGAATGGCGCTTAGTTTATAAAACCGTACAAAACTTCATGTAAAGATGACTGTATCTACATCAACAAAGTATTTTTATTGTTAACAGTCATCGATATATTACCACATCGATGTTAACAGTTAACGTAACGTCTTATACGTATATTTATCTATTGAAATATTTCTTCTAAAATTAAAAAATATATCTATACTAATCTATACTAATATTATAAAGAGGAAATATTTGTTTGTATTGAATAGGCTCCGAAACTAGAGAACTGATTTGAAAAATTATTTCACTGTTTGGAAGCTACACTATTCCTGAGTGACATAGGCTATAATATTTTTTGAAAAAAATAGGGATCCTTATTAAAACTCTAATAATGTAACCAAAGGTATAATAAATTACCTAATATATTCTTTACATCGCGTGCCCTGCGAAAACTATTCATGATACAATAAAATAATGTACAATGAGTTTGTAGAAAACATTATTATTTCCAAAAAGTGTCGCGACAGCATATGTCTAACTATTATAGTTATGCCGCAATAAGTGTTCTTTTGACGTGGCGCATTTACGTTGTAGATGTCTATGGGTTCCTGTAACCACTTAACACCAGGTGGACACATCTAAGCAATAAGCCATCGCGCTCCTTCGCTGCCTCATCACGCCGCTAGAGTCAATCGCAGCCGTTTCATAGCCCTAAGATTATGTACCTATATGTACATATATATAATTTTTTTTTAAATCGTAAATAAAGTTTGATATAAATATATGAATTATATTTGACGAAAATATACATATAGGTCATGTAATTAGTGTAGTTTCGCGTCTGTCACGTCCGCGCCCGTCGCGGGACTCGCCCGAGGGCTCTCAGCGAGGTCGGCGCGCGTTTCCGAGGAGTGACAGTGAGTGACGCCTGACGCGGAGTGTCCGNTATATATAATTTTTTTTTAAATCGTAAATAAAGTTTGATATAAATATATGAATTATATTTGACGAAAATATACATATAGGTCATGTAATTAGTGTAGTTTCGCGTCTGTCACGTCCGCGCCCGTCGCGGGACTCGCCCGAGGGCTCTCAGCGAGGTCGGCGCGCGTTTCCGAGGAGTGACAGTGAGTGACGCCTGACGCGGAGTGTCCGGGGTCTCAACTTAGTTTTTAATATGAATGGAATGTATCTGTGTATCTGTGAGGGTAATGACAAATAACGAAAAGCTTTAACGACGTCACCGGCGTGACCTCGGTACGGGAGGAACAGCGACGTCGCATCGCTCCCATGTTGAAACCGATCACAGATCAGTGCGCTTAGTGCGAGTTTCATAATGTTCTCGATAGTGTAAAAGTTAAGCCAATTTTGTATGCAATTGGAACAGCGCCCCTAGCGGCAAACGTACGCAAACTATCCCATTCCATACAAATATGAGCTTACTTTTACGCTATCGAGAACGTTAAAAAACTCGCACTAAGCACACTACTGTCGGGGATATATCTTAGTACTCACTCAAGCGCACGCCGACCCGCGCCGCGCCCGATGTGTGGCTCTGAGGCGATGCCAGGTGTGTTGTGTAGGCTGAGGGCGCAGGTAGCGCCAAGTATAGAGTTTACATGCACACGTCCGCGCTATTGTATACGCTGACCTCCGGGCTCTACACGAGTGTTGCGACATGTCTAAGCCACGTTTCAAATCCTATAACAGGGACATCAATGCCCTTAAATAGGCGAGACCTGGACTGTAAGTTCCCGGGAAAATTGTTCCGATGAATATACGCCACAAACACAAACTGATTTGAACTTTAATGAAATAAGTCGCGCTCTTGCGGCCATCTAACCACACCGAAGCCACCAAATGAAATTGTAATTTGTCTTTTTATATTAGAATAAATTTAGTTTCATTTCTCTTTCCGAAATACTTCTGAAGAACTAATGCGTAGAATTGACGAGGTACTCATAAGCCAAGCCAAACCAATAAAAGTAAATTTTCAAGAGAGCTTGAATTAAGTCTTGGCAATTCTTGCAATTGCAATTGGCAATGGATAGATATTTAAAAAAAACCGGAAAAAAATTACTAATGATAAGAGAAACTTCAACCTTTACGAATATATTACCTGGACAAAAACTGAAAAGAAAATTATTTTACTGTAGAGGTGTTTTGTATAATCGTTATTAGGCGTGCGCGGTAATATACCTACATATTATGTTACATTGTATTTTAATTTAAATTAAAGGAACCAGTCATACGTGGTTCCAATGAACTGGAACATTCCCTGTGAGTGCCCTCATCCTTATAAATTAACTAGTAGGTATTATACGTGAACAGCAGGAAGATGCGCCCGCGAGCCCACTACTGGGCGTGCTGGGGCCGGGGGCCAGCTCGGCTGCCGTGCAAGTCCAGAACCTGCTGCAGCTCTTCTCTATTCCGCAGGTTGGTGACGTGAAGTGACGGCTACTGACGACACGGAGCGTAGACTGCAGTGCTGAAGCAGCTCTTTCACCAACTATATGTTGGTGGACGAGCTCACGGCTTACCTAGTGTTGAGTGGCTACCGGAACGCGCTAACATCACAACGTGGGGTCGAAGCCTCAATCGTTTTGTAGAGCGGCTGTCCCACCCACGGTTTTTCGGTTTGAAGGGTGGGCAGCCGTTGTAATTATACTGAGACCTTAGAACTTATATCTCAAGGTGGGTGCGTTTACGTTGTAGATGTCTATGGGCTCTAGTAACTACTTCACACCAGATGTGCTGTGAGCTCGTCCGCCCATCTATCAAATAAAAAAAAAGATCATAAATATAATCAAACGCGGCGAGTCAGTCTGAGAGGCAGGGGGGGGGGCATAGTTATTACCATATCCGATTTGAGGGTACGAGCTAAGTGGTAGTAAGACCGTTGGGAGGGCGCGAGTCCTTCTAAGAAATCAGACCATCTGGCATCTCGGACTTGGGCGATGCAAGACTTTACGTCGCGTTGTAGGGCACACATTCAAACACGATTTTCCTCGGTAGGATACCGATTGTACGATTGTACCGATGGTGGGCACCTGGTGTTAAGTGGTTACTGGAGCCCATAGACATCTACAACGTAAATCCGCCACCCACCTTGAGATATAAGGTCCAAGATCTCAGTATAGTTACAACGGCTGCCCCGCCCTTCAAACCGAAACGCATTACTGCTTCACGGCAGAAAATAGGCAGGATGGTGGTACCCGCGCGGACTCACAAGAGGTCCTACCACCAGTAATTACGCAAATTATAATTTTGTGGGTTTGATTTTTATTACACGACGTTATTCCTTCACCGCGAAACTCAATCGTGAACATTTGTTGAGTACATATTTCATTAGAAAAATTGGTACTCGCCTGAGATTCGAACACTGGTGCATTGCTCAACACGAATGCACCGGACGTCTTCTCCTTTAGGCCACGACGACTTCTAATGTATGTATACACGTGCATAGACACGGACAAGGAGACGGCGTATTGACTGGCTGGTTGCAGGTGTCGTACTCGGCGACCTCCCGCGAGCTGTCGGACCGCGCCCGCTTCGGTACGTTCTTCCGCGTGGTACCCTCCGACCGGCACCAGGCCCGGCTGCTCGTGGCGTTGCTCCGCGCCCACAACTGGACCTACGTGCACGCGCTGCACACGGACGGTACGTGTCTCCTAACCCATGCATCGGCCCGCTGAGTTTCTCGCCGGATCTTCTCGGCGGGTCGCGATTCCGATTCGGTAGTAGATTCATTCGCGAAGCAGCTACTCTTGAGTTGTTAGATCTTCTTCGGAGGCGCTCGGGTAGCTGTTAGCAAACCCCACCCCTCCTGGCTGAGCCTCGCTCGCCCACCTGTCCTGGTGAAACTGGAAAGGCCTCCGGGCCACCAGTAATACTTCAAACATAAAAAAGGTATGTGTCCCCAATTTATCCGCCGCTGATGACTGGCAGACGGCTGCGAATAGTTTGTCCCATTTGTCGGCTCCAGATGTCCGTTTTGGTGGTAACAATGATTTTAATAAAATGACTCACTGATTACATACTACTATACAGATAGGTAGAATCAAGCTTTATGGAAGAATTGGTGTCAAGAGGGCACATATTTCTTATACCTTCCACGCTCGCGCGTCACAAGCCAATAAGTTTTGTGTATTTATGAAATAAAATACAAAGTAATTATAGTATAGATACAGTGTGAAAAAATTACAATAAAGCACTAAATTCTAAATTAATAGAAACGATGAATTTCAAAGCATGTGATTTTGTTGTACATCTCTATATTATATAATGACATTATTCATTTTGACATTTGACACTATCTATCTATCTATCTCTTAGGTTTATGGCGTTTATACCCTGAGGGGGTGAGGCCGCGCGGCGCGCTACCAGCACTCTAGCGCGCTGCCGTGGAGTGAATAGAGCGACCGGTCGACGGTGTATCGCGTCCCGACCCGGCAGGCTGGTTCTGGTCCAGCGGGGTATTCCGGGACACCAGCGGCACCGTCTGGGCGGCCCGACGGGCTGCCGTACCGAGACGGCCGACGTTTCAGAGCCTTCGATTCGCCTCGAAGGCTCCGTCGGCTGGGCGTCCTTGGGGTGAGCCGCGCCGTCTGGTTGTAGTGTTGACCGCGGTAGCCCCCCTACCTCATCCGGGTTCTGACCTCGGAGGGGATCGGACGTCGGGTGTAAGAGGGGTGGGCTCTAAAATCCTTGGGCCCACGCGGTCTGCTCACAACACCATGCAGATCGTTGAGTCTCGCTCACATACCCCGCGGCGCCCCTTTTGCGACGGGCGACCTCGTAAGGAGGTTCGGCCCTCTACCCAAAAAAAAAAAAGGTTTATGGCGTTTCCTTTTAGATTTCGCCAATGTCAAGTGTATTTAATACTCTGCTTTCTATAGTGGGCTTCGTGAACGAGCAAGGTCACAAATATTCACTAAGAATTAAGTGAGTAGCTAAGAATGTTTCATTAAAGTTCCATATTGATGGATATGAAAATATCGCTCATTTAATAATGATTTCAGTGATTTAATACGATCATTCATTGACAGTTCGGGTGTCATCGTATTCCGATAAAGATCCGAGTTTTCCTGAAGGAAAACTATTTCTCAGTACATGATCATCTCAAAATAATGATTAAGCGCGTAATATTGATGTACAAGGTGCCGGCCGGCCGATGCGCGGCGGCACAGAATAAAAAGAATAACACGAAACATCCTAATCACTTCAAGATAGGCTTTGAAAATTGTACATTTTTCTCGATTTCTCTAGGATCCCTTCATCAGATCCTGATCCTAATGATTACAGGACCATTCGGAAAGTCTACTCTCGAAAAAAAAAAAAAAAAGAATTATCAGAATCGGCTCAAGAATTCTTGTGAAATCGGTGAACATACATAGATAAAATTTGTGGTCGAATTGATAACCTTCTCTTTTGAAGCCGGTTAAAAAGCGTGATTTTGGTACACTGATTAGCTCCTTAATATTGTATTATTCAAAAATATTTTCACCTTCTACGTAAATGAAGTCGCGGGTAAAATTTACCGTTATCCTAAAGTAACTATTTCACGCGAAGTTGCGAGCAAAAGCTAGTCAACTTATATATATTACTTCAATGAATTATATATTAATGTATATAATCAAGTCGAATGAAAGTAAATTACGAGCGAGGACGGACCTTGTGACATAGAGGATATGCGGAGAACTGTGTGAGCGAGGAACACGTAGGGGTGTACGGACAAGAAGAAAGCACATGTAATCTAGTGTAATATAACAATAGGTTATTTGCAGAGGAACGTCTTAATTGTATGAAAATACTTACAAATTAACGGTTTCCAATTTAGTCATCTATGAAGAGGTTCTGAAAGAATCTTTAATAAATAAATAAATAAAATGCTTGCTAAAACGCTTGCATTGCATATTTACTTTATTAATTTTAAATGCTTTTCATCAATCTAATACTTCTCAATCGTTCCCTCGTTGTTGAGGATCGCGACCCTTCTGTAGACTTCTTACTGTTTCTCTACACTTATTCCTATTCTTTGCCTAGTGCTTACCGACATTTCCAGCTGTTAAGCCACCTGTTTATTGCCCTTGTAGGCAGACGAGCATACGGCCCCCTTGATGGTAAGTGGTAACCGTCGCCCATGGACTTCAGCAAGGCCAGGAGCAGAGCCAAGCCGCTGCCTACCGTTAAGTACTCTGATTAAGTACCTGGTCAGACCACCGCTTTGAGCTTCGGCCTCTAGGCCTTTTGATTTCTATTTTGTCGGCAAAGATTAGCCTTTCCAAACTATCAGGGTTGCCGCAGGCTATGGGCTCAATGAGAGCAGGGTTCAGACTCATACTAGACTCAATTCAATCAGATTCAGATTGATTGATTGAGTGTGTAAAGTTGTCAATTTGGCGACACATTGATCACACAATGATAGAGTGATGGTGAGTGCCGGAAACCCAGCGGATGCTAACAAGCTGGACGCCGACGAGTATTTCGTATTGGAGATCGTATTCCGCCGTGTAATGCAGATGACTAAGCAAAATAATGAAAGAGCGCGTACACGTGTTGCAGAGAGCTACGGACAGAGCGGCATGGCGGCGTTCCGAGAGGAAGCGGCGCGGGGCGGCGTGTGCGTGGCGCGGGAGGAGGCCCTGCGAGCCGCCCCGAGTCCGCGGGAGGTGGAGGCGGCGCTGCGTCGGCTCAACGGTGGTCCTCGCGTCGCCGTCTGCTGGTGTGAGGGCCGCACGGCGCGCGCTCTGTTGGACAGCATGGCGCGAGAACCTTATCTGCGATTGAATCTGATCGCCAGCGACGGTTGGGCGGATCGACGCGACGTGGTGGACGGCCTGGAGCCCCATGCTCGAGGCGCCCTGACGCTCCGGATCCGGTCCCCGTACTTACACGACTTCGACGACTATTACCGAACGCTCTCACCTCATACCAACACGAGGAATCCTTGGTTCCGGGTGCGCTCGCTTCCCAACTCTACATCGTAAGACTTTAACAACACTCGATTATAATTTTATGTGTATTTTTAAGGAGTTTTGGGAACAAAAATTCAAGTGCTCCTTCAAAGAAAGCAGCGGGCAAGGTGTACGGCTTTGTTCTGGTTCCGAGTCACTGATGCAGAACTACACGCAGGAGCCAAAGCTGGCTCTGGTGGTACGCGGAGTGTACGCTTTGGCACACGCTCTGCACGACATGCGCCAGGCGAAGTGCGGGGCCCGGCGCGGCCTCTGCGCTGCTCTGCTGCCGTTCAACGTGTCGCAGTACCAACGACACCTGCAGCGGGTGCGGTTCCGGGCTCCCGACGGAGCGCTCGTCGCATTCGATGACCACGGCGACCCGCTACCCGAGTACGATGCTTTCTTTACTCTTTATCTCTGTATTCACTTACTAATAATTTAAATATAATATAGTTAATAGATATATATACATATATAAGTATATTTGTCATTTGTTGACGTGAGTGCCATATACGAAGGAGCATCTGAGTCCTCAGGTTGAGTGAGTACGACGTGATGAGGTTCGAGAGCGACCAGCGCGGCGAGTGGCGCTACGTGCGGGTGGGACGCTGGCGTCGCGGCGCTCTGCATCTCCGCGGCGGAACACGAGCCGCCTATAGGTCCTTTTGTTAAACCTTAATATATTTATTTTATCATGTTTTGCCAAAGTAAATGGTCTTATATGGATTTAGACGAGGGCAAGGAGTGCGCGGAGTCTGCTCAGAGCCGTGCGGTGTGGGAGAGTGGGCCCGGGCGGGAGAGGGCAGGGCGCGGTGCTGTTGGACGTGCGTGCCCTGTCCGCCGCTCGCCATTACCGTGCCGCCCCCCGCACCGGGCTGCAAGCCGTGCCTTCCCGGACACCGACCTGACCTGACGCGGACTCGCTGCATACCTTCGCCCGTAGAGTGGAGCGGCGGCGGACGACCTCGAGCTATAGCCACTTTGACCGGTGCTATCGGTTTGATCACGGTCTGCTTCTTCTCTGTCGTGTTATGGCACTACCGTAAAACTCCCGTTGTGAAATCTGCTTCACGAGAGCTGTGCGCGCTCCTGCTCTGCTCTGCGGCCTCGTGTCACGGCGCGGCGCTGGCCGGTGCCATCCGCCCAGCAGGGCTGTCATGCGCGGCGGTTCGACTGGCAGCTCCGGCGCTGGGCGGCGTATATGCTGCGGTGGTGGCTCGCACCATGCGCGTCGCACGTCTGGTAGCAGCGGTCGAAAAACGCCCTGCAGCTCGACCCCGATTGCTCTCGTCCCGCGCTCAGGTGTGGACGTGGTTGGCCCTAAGCACGCCGGGCTGGGCGATGGCGGCGTGGAGCGCCACCAGTTGGCCTCCCGTGGCGCGGCTGTTGCACCCGGGCCGGGCGCGCTCCGTGCTGGCTTGCGCAGGAGAGACCGCGACGGCCCAGCTGGTCCCTTTGGCACCGGCTCTAGTATTGCTCGGTGCGTGCGTGTTGCTGGCAGTGCGCACGCGCCGCCTGCCGCATAACTTAAACGAGACTAAGTTCGTGGGGGCGGCTGCGTACGCGACCTGCGTGACGTGGCTGGCGTTTTTCCCGCTGTACGCAGTGACGGAGGCGCGCACGGCTTGCCTGTGTGCGTGCGTGTCGCTGTCGGCAGGGGCGTGCGTTCTGTTGTCCCTGGGCCCGAGGGTCTGGGTGTGCTTATGCCGTCCCGAACGCAACACACGCACTCACTTTCTGACCGCCACTTCGATCCGTTGTCACCTCGGCAAGTACCGCTCTGGGAGAGCCGCCCGCCCGTCGGCGACCGTCGGTAAGTCTACACTTTTTCTTTTTGTATTAATATCGCTTATTTCTTTTAACAGCTACGACTAAGCTCAGCTCGATGCCTGTACACTGTACAGCTGGACCACAGCGCTATTCGTCTGAGGATTACAATTTGTTCTGACCCTACAAATAAATAATGTTGGGGGTAGGTGCATGCATGTGGTTGTGTAGATTTGCCAACAATTACCGCAGCAGCAGAATTAATCGCGGCTCTTCACAGCACCTGTGAATCTGCTAAAGTTAACAACAAATCTCGAACTCCTACAATACAACCTGAGCATCCATTTAAAACCACTGTCTATTTGCGCACCTGTATATAAGTGTTTGTATTTGTGATACTTCGGTGCCAGGTCCTGAAGTAATCATTATTATATTCAGGCGAGAGTCGGGAGGCGTCCAGTCAGACGACGGAGTGCGGGGAGTGCGGAGAGTGCGGGGCAGCGGGGCGGTGTGCGCGTGTCACACGCTGGGAAGGTCCGGAGTCTGCACACGTGCTCATCGTGCTGTACCCTCACCGACACGTGGCGCCCCTCTCGTTGGCACACTACGCGCACGACTCTCCTCTCGCCGATCGTAATCTCTAAGAACCGGGACGCTGTACTGACTAAAGACAAATTCAATAGGTGTATAGTTGTGTGTGTGTTTCTTAGTAGTGATATTCCGGTCACACTCAGTTGTGATCGCTGTCGTAAGGAATCTATTTCGGGCGTGATGTGTGTCGGGACGTCCCATAATTATATATAGGTGCTGTGTTGCGCGTCTGACGGTGGCGGGCCAGTAGCGGCGCCATGTTCGCCGCGGCGGTCGTATGCTGGCTCGGAGCCGTCGCTGCGCTGCAAGTGCAGATAGGTACCTGCTGACTGCGATAATATATACAATCGAACAATATACAATACAAACCTTCCGATAGTTCTGATGTAAAATGTAATTTGCACCAAAATAATCTAAATTTAATAAAGTAGTTACAGTCTTGTTTGCGATTTGCATTAGTTTTGCGACACTCGTGATTTCAACTATTAATGCCGACATGTAACAGTGACGGACAAAAGACCGAATTAAAGCGCTTGTTCATTGTCGATGTAGGTGTAGTGGAGCAGCAGCCCATGCTGGCGCAGCAGCTTGCGGTGAGCGCGGAGACAGCGCTGTTGGAGCTGCGGGACGAACCCAGAGTGAAGGTGGCGCCCGTGGAGCCCGAGGAGCCATTAGCATTGGCAGCTCACTTGTGCGCGCTGGCGGAGGAGGGCGTGGCGGCCGTGCTGACGGGTGGAACGGCGCGCTCTGCCAGGCTGTTGGCGGCGGCGGCCGCAAGGGCCGGCGTGCCGCTGCTGCTGGCCGATTCTGCTCCCAAGAACCACACCTGGGAAGTACTAGCCCTTTACCCGGATAACAGAGTACTGGCACAGGTACGCACACGCCTACGAATTTACCGCGTGCACTTAGTATACAAGATAATAATGAATATTGTCATGGGGTACAGGCTTGTGCGGATCTGTGCAAGGAGAAAGGCTGGAAACGAGCGGTGTTTTTGCACGCGGGAGAAGCTGAGGTCGCAGCGCTGATCGCGCCTGATGCAGAGCCCCTGGCCTTGGTGGTGCGCCACCTGCCCCCACCGGACGACGCTGCGCTACTCAGAAATTTAATGCTCGTACTCAAGAAATTGAGCGTCACCAACTTCATAGTGTGGTGTGACGCAGAATGTAGTCTGCGCGTACTGGACGTGGCGCAGCGAGTTGGCCTGCTCTCCGACCGACACTCCTACATCATGCTGTCGCTGGACTTGCATACGCAGCCCCTAGCCGACTACAGTCACGGCGGAGCAAACATCACCGGTGACTACTCTTTGCTCAGCTTGCATGTCGCTACAATTCTTAGCCAATGGTCACCATTAGAATAGAAGGTTGTCTCAGCGCTGCGGCTGTTCGAGCCGCAGTCCAAGGACGTTCAGCACATGATGACGTTGTGGGAGAGGCAGTACGGAGCGCGGCTCGGCGACGAGGCCTCGCTCGCGGGACCGGAGCGCTCAGTGCCGACGGCGCTGCCGCTGGCGTACCAGGCCTCGTCGCTGGTGGCGAAGGCGCTGCGAGCCCTGAACCTGCCCCCTGGAGCGCCTGCCTCGTGCCAGGTCGGACTCGGTGCCTTTCACGCTGACACGCTCCTCAACTATCTGCGTTCGGTGAGTTCGTACTGACAAGCACGCGTCACGTTATACGATAATCGTACTAATATTTATACATTAACTCCTGATTCGATTAAAAGCTCCTTTGGTAACGTTAAAGTAACACCTCTCTAGACTAATTTCTTGAAAATGCATTATTTATCTCTGAATTGGTTTATTATACCCATTCTGATACATACATTAGGTTACTACTTTAACCAAATCGATATGCCAAGAAGACAAGTATAGATAGTTGATAGTAACATCTCATTCTCTCTCTCTCTCCGATATACAAAAAAACTGGTCCATCTGAGGTTCTATAAAGATTCGGATTGTATCATATATTTGCGAAAAGCGATCATGTCGGCATTCAGCATCGTAGTGTGCGTTGGAAGTAGACCGTGCATCACGTCTCCGCTAGGATATATTAAGAAGGGTCATGCTTGTGTCAGGAGGAATGGACGAGCGGAAGTGGCATGGGCGGCGAATTGTCGTGGGAAGTGGACGGATGGCGGCACGAGGTGCAGCTGCAAGTGGCGGAGCTGGCGCGGGGCGGGTGGCTGGAGCCGGCGGGGCTGTGGGCGCCTCGTGTAGGTGTCACATGGCAGCGACCAGACGAGCCGAGGAACTCCATGCCGGACTACTCCATGACCAATCGCACTTTCACCTTCCTTATCGCACGAGTCAGTATTACTTCTATGATAAGCTTAAAACATTGTACTATAATATGTTATTGATATACCTAATATGTTATTTTTGTCATTTATGTTGGTATATAATAAAGCATACTGTCTCTATCTCTCTCTCTCTTGCTTACGTAATTGTGACTGCTACAGATCAAGCCGTATATAATGCGACAAGAGTCGACGCTTCGTCTGGCTGGTAACGCGCAGTATGAAGGCAAGTGTAGAAAAAGAGGCCCGCACTGCGCCCCGTATTAATTTTCTCGCAAGTACTTATTCCGACGAACGGTCTATCTACATTGCGCTGTGCCGTGTGCCTTGCAGGGTTCTGCATCGAGCTGATTGAGAAACTGGCCGCGATGTTGAAATTCAACTACACGTTCGTGGAGCAAGAAGACGGAGAGTATGGGATCTACAACAACACCCTCGGCAAGTGGACCGGCATGCTCGGGCGCCTCATCGAGGACAAGGTGTAGCTCAGTTCCACCTCTAGGAACATGTTTCTAGTCGGCCCGAATGAACACACTCAAGTTTAGGTGTTTGCGACGGGCATGTTTGTTGCAGGACATTGACTTTGCCATAACGGACCTAACCATCACGTCGGAGCGCGAGAAGGCCGTGGACTTCACGACGCCCTTCATGAACCTGGGCATCTCGATCCTGTTCGGCACGCCGGAGCCTGCGCCGCCCAAGCTTTTCGCCTTNACATGTTTCTAGTCGGCCCGAATGAACACACTCAAGTTTAGGTGTTTGCGACGGGCATGTTTGTTGCAGGACATTGACTTTGCCATAACGGACCTAACCATCACGTCGGAGCGCGAGAAGGCCGTGGACTTCACGACGCCCTTCATGAACCTGGGCATCTCGATCCTGTTCGGCACGCCGGAGCCTGCGCCGCCCAAGCTTTTCGCCTTTATGCTGCCCTTCTCCAACGCGGTGAGACTAGACAACAGCCGACGCGCAGTGTGTCTATTGGTCGCTATGCCAAGTAAACGACGTAAGAATGAATTCGTGTACAGGTTTGGATCTGCCTGGGGTTCGCATATTTGGGCACATCGTTGGTGCTATACGTGGTGGGGCGTTTATGTCATGAGGAGTGGCAGAACCCGTATCCATGCATCGAAGATCCTCCCGCTCTGGAGAACCAGTTTACTCTTGCCAACGCGCTTTGGTTTAACCTCGGCGCTGTGCTGCTGCAGGGCTCTGAGATCGCACCGGTGTGAGTCTCTTCACGTTTATTAAATTGCACTACGTTAGCACGTTAGCACGTTACGCAAACGGTGACTGTAGATTACTCTTTTATATGTAGCTACAATATGGCCTCCGGTAGCCACTGAGCATCTGGTGATTCAGTACAGTGCATGGTGTGTGTGGCAGGGCGTACGGGACCCGCGCGGTGGCCAGCGTGTGGTGGCTGTTCGCGCTGGTAATCACGAGCTCGTACACCGCGAACCTGGCTACGCTGCTCGCCTCGAAGAGTTCTACCGACCTCATTCACAATGTGGAAGAGCTTGCCAATAACAACCTCGGCATCAAGTACGGCGCTAAGAAGGGCGGCTCCACCTATAACTTTTTTAAGGTCAAAACTACTTTATCCCACTTTTTCACACCCTGTATATTGCAGTCTTTATCGTAGCTGTAAAGCGTCCATTGCCCAGTAAGTAAGACACCACGCCGGGCCGACGTAATTCGATTATTGTCTTACTGTGACGACGTTTACAATAAATTGGTAAATTGTGTGTAATTGTACACAAGACACAAACAAGTTCAGTTTAACTTGGAAAATGTAAAGAAAAAACAAATTCGTAAACCATTCCAATGTTTCCCATGCACACCCAATTCATTAGAAGTACATTTAAGTTTCAAAATAATAATGGACGTATCGATCTCTTAAAATCCCTGTTGTAAATATCTTATATTAACGTCTATAGGATTATGGTGAAGTATATACTGGATTTTCTTCATGCGAGTGATTTTAATAGCTCGAATGTTAAGACTCAGTTTGTGATGCCTTCCGAGACACTTTAACCTCACAAGAGTAAAAAAAAGATCGACCAGTGTGCTAAGTTTTTTAACGTTCTCGATAGCGTAAAAGTTAACTCAATTTTGTATGGAGTTGGAACGTTTGCCTACGTTTGCCGCTAGGGGCGCTGTTCCACCTGCATACCAACTTGAGTTAAATTTTACGCTAGTAAACTAAGCACTGAGCACTAAGTACGCTAAGTAAACGTAGCAACTGTAAAAGTTTCAAGTCAAGCCCGTGTGCAATATGCGAACGGAGAGAACGCGATCAAACAAGCAAAGCAAGAAACTCGCATTCATGACAGTTTTTTGACATTATGTAGGGTAACTAACTGAATCGCTAAGTTGCGCGACGTCCTCGTAACTCGCAGTACAGCCTGCGTACCTCGGGACCACTGTCCCGGCTCCGGCTCCTGCCCCGCCGGGGTCGTCAGTCAATAACCAGACAGCGCGTCTGTCTGCAACGTAATATGATCTATATATATTAACTAGCGACGCGCCATCACTTCGCTTCGGAAACTGTAATTTACTATCGATTTCTCCACTATTTAATGGATGTTATTATACACATAAACCTTCCTCTTCAATCACTCTATCTATTAAAAAAAACGCATCAAAATCCGTTGCGTAGTTTTAAATATTTAAGCATACATAGGCACACATATATATAGGGACAGAGAAAGCGACTTTGTTTTATACTATGTAGTGATGATACGTGAAGCAAAAACTTTGTACCCCTTTTTAAGAAAATTGCGCGGACGGAGGAGCATGAAATTTCCCACATATTTCTTTTAAACTATGCATAAAAACACATTAAATCAATAAAAAAAACATTACACACACTACCATCTATTTGACACAACACGCATTATACATGTGTACTCTTTTATTGTAAAACTTTTGTTGTCATTTAAGGTCTGTGGTCTAAATGAAAATAGTTTAATATTGTTTGTCTTTAATATTATTTGTCTATAGTGTAGTCTTAGCGAAATTTTTGAATAAAGAAGTATAAATATTCGACAATAGAACCATAATAATGTTGAAACTTATAATTTAAATTAATTATAGTTGAATTTCGACGATCATGGGACCACTAGTTCAAATAATTACATTTCCGTTCTGTTTATGTTTCCAGAACTCACAGAACCCCACTTATCACAAGATGTACGAGCAGATGAGTAAGGAGCCGATGCCCCTCTCCAACGAGATCGGAATAAAGAAGTATGTCGCTTACAGTTGAACAGCTAACGAGCCCAGCGCGAGGCTGTGTCCTTTTTTATTTTTTTATTTCTTAGATGGGTGGACGAGCTCACAGCCCACCTGATATTGAGTGGTTACTGAAGCCCATAGACATATACAACGTAAATGCACCACCCACCTTGAGATATAAGTTCTACGGTCTCAGTATAGTTACAACGATTGCCCAACCCTTCAAACCGAACCACATTACTGCTTCACGGCAGAAATAGACGGGGTGGTGGTACCTACCCATCGGACTCAAATGAGGTCCTACCACCAGTAAAAAGTCCTCCTTCTTGTGTTGCCTGTTGCAATATCACAATTGTCTCCAAGAATAGCCAGCCTATGGAGTTTGTGTTCTATAGGCCATTGTATTACTGGAGGCTGGAGGGTGAGACGATTGTTGCAGACCATTGCAATATTACAAAAAAGATTTTATTTTTAAATACTAAAATAAAAAAAATAAAAACACAAATTAGGACTTGAAGGCCAAATACTAGAAAGTGGTCACAGTTTGTAAACAGAGTTCCAGAGTTAAATGCCGCCACCTACCTTGAGATATGGTTACAACGGCTGCCCCACCTTTCAAACCGAAACGCGTTACTGCTTCACGGCAGAAATAGGCAAGGTGATGGTACCTACCCGTGCGGACTCACAAGAGGTCCTACCACCAGTAATTATGCAAATTATAACTTTGCGGGTTTGATTTTTACTAAACGATTTTTCCTTCACCGTGGAAGTCAATCGTGAACATTTGTTAAGTACGTATTTTATTAGAAAAATTGGTACTTGCCTGCGGGATTCGAACACCGTTGCATTACTGAATACGAATGCATCGGGCGTCTTATCCTTTAGGCCACGACGACGGTTGGCGGTGTATCGCGTCCCGACCCGGCAGGCTGGTTCTGGTCCAGCGGGGTATTCCGGGACACCAGCGGCACCGTCTTGGCGGCCCTACGGGCTGCCGTACCGAGACGGCCGACGTTTCAGAACCTTCGATTCACCTCGAAGGCTCCGTCGGCCGGGCGTTCTTGGTATGAGCTGCACCGTCTGGTTGTAGTGTTGAGCGCGGTAACCCCTTTACTTTATCCGGGTTATGGCCTCGGAGGGGATCGGACGTTTGGGCGAAGGGTGAAAGGGGAATCGTTTAGTGGGAGGAGTCTTGAAAACATCCTTGGGTCTGTGGTTCGTAGTCGCGGACCAGGCCCACAAGACCTCGAAGGAGGTTCGGCTCCAGCCCGAAAAAAAAATCGTTACCTGCCCGCACAGGTACACTAACTAGTGCTGATGTAATAGGATGGTATTGTTCGCGTCGCAGGGTGGAGAATGAGAAGTACGCGTTCCTAATGGAGTCCACGTCCATAGAGTACGAGACTGAGCGGAACTGTAAGGTCCAGAAGGTTAGAACACTTCATTGAGCAACGGCCATCGGTCGAGTCGTTGCGCTCGTCGCTACAGCGTGTGACTGTGTTGCAGGTGGGCGGTCTACTCGACAGGAAGGGCTACGGAATCGCCATGAAGAAAGGTAAATAAATATGCAATCCTCAAGGCTTGGTGCCTCCGATGCCAATACGATAATGTTAACTCGTCTTGTCAACGGATCTCTAAGCGCGCCTGCCTCTCTCTGTGTTGCCTCCTGCGGGGCTCGCGCCACGCGGGGCCTCGATACAGTCGCGTCGCGTCTCTTGTTGCAAACATACAGACTTCTAGTTGCCTAGAACATGACGACTCAACGGCTTCAAGGCTTAGTGTTTTTCTACTAATTGTTAACACAAATTTCAATGTAAATGATCTTCAGATATTATAAATGATAAGGAAATAATAATCATTTCGTCCCGCAGACTCATCTTACCGACAGGAGCTAAACCTAGCCTTGTTGAACCTGCAGGAAGCTGGCGTCCTTCGTGAGATGATGCATACTTGGTGGATGGAGAAGAATGGCGGAGGGGCATGCAAGGTGACTGAGCTACTAACTGACCCAGGCTTCAGCATGAGTTCTTGTACCACTGAAAGTGTTGTTTGTGCAGGAGGACGAAACCCGAGAGAACCAAGAGCTGCGCATAAAGAACTTCTTAGGTCTATTCGTGGTGCTAGTGGTGGGCTGCGTGCTGGGCGTGCTGGTGTCGTGCTGCGACCTGGCGTGGGCGGCGCGGCGGCAGCGCGGCCCCAGCGAGTCCTTCTGGCAGCGCTTCTGGACCGAACTGCGCTTCGTCTTTCGCTTCGAGCAATCCGTGAAGCCCCTGCAAGTACGTCTCCCTCGGCACGACGTCACGTAGTACACTGTTCCGCCTCCACAGTCGCTTACGAGTCGCGTTTTGCAGGGTCCGCTGATCCCAGACTCGCCGGTTTCCCAACAGTCGGAGGGGGCGGAGGAGTGCAGGACGGAGCGCGAGGAGACGGGCTCCGAGAGGGCGCGCGCTGCGCCGCGGACGAGCTCGGCGGCGCGGCGGCGGTCCTCCATGCACGCGGCGTCACTTCGCATCGCGCGGCACACCACACGGGACTCCACCACGCCGCACTAGCATCGACCGCGCCGTCACCGCCACACTCACTACTAACACTAAACTTAATCTACACTCGCTAATCTTTTGAAGGAATTCGTTTAGACACATTGTGCAAAATGGCTTGTCAATGAAAGCGTTACCTTCAGTTTGTGTGCGCCGTTTTACTTCGAAATTATTAATTGTTAAAGTTAATAAGTATTTACTAATGATTATTTAGAATAGAGTCTTTATTATCATCACTAACTAATTAAAAAAATGGGAAAGTATATAGATAAGGCCTCTGATAGGAAAGGTATTGTCATAATTTAAAGTTAACTTATGGTAGCGTAGCGATGGTCTCTCGAGCCCACTTCGTTCGGTCCGAGACCACGAGGACAATTACCCCACGTAAAACATGTCTAGAAGCACGCACTTCGAAGACTAACTGTTGTAGTAAATTTAAATATATTTCTTTGATAATTCCACAAACTGTTGTCGTAGTCTGAGTTAGCAGTAACTACCTTAAATCCGTGTTTGTTGGTTTTTAACAAATAAAAATGATTTTGACACAAGTGCGTTTAATTTTCTTACTTTGATTAGCTTTACGAATTTCGGCAATGTGTACGAGTGAAAATTTCGGGAATTAACGAAGTGACACAACATTACTATTTAAAAATGTATTTATTGCTTTTCGAAGTATTCTCCGCGAAATTTGACACATTTTTCCATACGATGGAACCAATCATTGAAGCAACCATTCCATTCGGAAGTTGGGGTCTCCAAAATGGCCGTTTTGTAGGCGTCCACAGCTTCTTCAGGTGATGAAAATCTCTGTCCACGCAATTTATTCTTTATTTTAGGGAAAGTATAGAAATCATTAGGGCTTAGGTCGGGGCTGTACGGCGGATGGTCTAATAATTCTATGTTTTCTTGCTCTAAAAACTCTTTTGTTCTGTGCGCGGTGTGAGAACTCGCATTGTCGTGATGGAGGATGATGCGGCGGTTGCAGTTCTCTTTACGGAGTTCAGAAACGACCTGTGGCAAACAAATGCTAGCATACCATTCTGCATTAACCGTTCTTTGTCCCTCAAGAGGAATAGTCGTAACATGGCCGGTTTTGGAGACAAACGTGGCCACCATTTTTTTTTGCAACATTCCGTGAACGAACTATTTTTGTTGGTTTTAACTCATTTTCGAACACCCAAACTCGTGACTGGTTTTTTGTTTCGGGTTCGTACGCGTATATCCAGGATTCGTTACCTGATACAATGTTGTATACAGCATTTGAGGATCCTGCGTGGAATCTTTCGAGAGTTCTGACGCACCAAGTAACGCGATCCGCTTTTTGCTCTTCACAGAGCGAATGCGGTATCCATCGGGAAAACAACTTTTTTACACCTAATTGTTCATGCAAGATTATTTGTATTTGACTCATGCCAATGTCTAAAGTTGCCTGAATTTCGAGGTATGTCACATGTCGATCTTCCTCAATCAGCTTACGCACAGCATCAACGTTTTCTTGGGTGACTGCAGTTTTTGGACGACCTTGACGGGGATCATCACTGAGCTTGACACGCCCACGTTGAAACTCAGCAAAACAGCGATAAATTGTGGTTTTGGATGGGGCTTCATCGCCAAATGCAGAAATCATCCGGTCAACACACTGTTTTTGTGTTAAACCACTTCGGAAGTCATAATAAATCATCGCTCTTGAATTTTCTCGAGTCAATTCCATTTTCTGAACGACTAAACAAGTTTGACAAAACCTCGTGACAAGACCGACAATCTTTTTTTAAATAAATAAATGGTATTCGATTTTTAAAACCAAGGAGTTTTCAATTAAAAAGATTTTAATATGATAGGAACAGTGGAAATATTCCATTCCCGATACTTTTAGTGCAGCCTAGTACTGTAGACACAGTACATACATAAGTTGGGGAAAAAGTTTCTTTGCATTTTTTAATATAGTTTATTTACATTTAACTAAAGTGTGTAGGTACCATTTTGTTCGATAACTTTTTGCCATTTGTAAGTAGGGACATGATCCCATTGCTATAGAACATTTTGGGGCTTCTGATCAAAATACCGCGAAAATTGATTTTGGCAGTCCTCTCGTGACACTGCCTAAAGAATTCTGAAGAGACTGAAACAGGTGGAAATCTGAAGGTGCAAGGTCAGGACTACATGGCGGATGCATTAACGCCTCCCAGCCAAGCTCTCTTAATTTTTGCTGAGTGGCTAAATATGTGTGAGGTCTAGCGTTATCATGATGAAAAACCACACCCCTTCTGTTGATTAATTCCGGCCGCTTTCTCTCAACTTATTGCTTTAATCTCATCAGTTGTTCGCAGTAAAGTTCAGAATCGATGGTCCTGCCTGGTGCAAACAGCTCATAATGAATAATGCCCTTCCAATCCCACCACACACACAGCTTCACCTTGTTGCGAGTTAACCCGGGTTTTGCAACAGTCTGTGAAGCCTGACCGGCCTTTGACCACGACCTTTTTCGCACGTTCTTGTCGTACGTGATCCACTTTTCATCACCAGTTATCAGCTTCTTCAAAAATGGTTCGGTTTCATTACGTCGTAATAAAGAATCACAAATAAGTACACGGTTCATTAGGTTTCTTTCAGTTAGCTCGTGAGGTACCCAAATATCGAGCTTTTTTGTGTACCCATTTTTTCAAATGCGCCAAAACTGTTTTGTGGTCAATTCCCGGCTCTTCAGCTACGTCGTAACTACTGATATGCCGATCTTGCTCCACTTTTTCAAAAATATCTGTAATAGGGCGACCAGAGTGACGTGCATCGTTGACATCACAATTTCCGGATTAAAAACGCTTAAACCAAAGTGCTACTCTCATAGACACTGCACTAGGTCCATAAACATCGCAAATCTTTTTCGCGGCTTGCGTTGTATTTTTACCTTTTTTGTAGTAAAATTTTAAAATCTATCGAATTTCTTCATTAGATTCACTCATCTTGGCAATACGAAAAATAAATAAAAATCACACATTTTCCTAATTTGAATTTGAAATTATCTTCTTTAAAATTTAAACTTTTAATGATACCAAAACCAGCCAGATACAAATAGTATAGCCAAAGAGATTTTATTACAAGTTCATACATACTATGTAACGCTAGAAAAATTGAAATTGTTTTTTTTTTTTTTTAATTAACGCCCTCTAGCGTATACGTGGCGCAGTGTGGGAAATATATAATTGTGAAACACTGCGTAGTGCACTTATTCGACACTGCATGACGTGACCGTACTATCTTGTCTGTGGTTCGAGGGTGAGATTGTCACAGCACTATAGGCGGAACATTCGAGAACCGTAAGACAATTCGTATAAAAGGACAAGTCACTTTGTCCGAAGCCTTTTTCAATCAACATCTCTCGAGCTGCAGTGCAAGTTTTATTACGTATTTACCAAAGTCAATTTAACTGTTCCTTGGTGTATTTTTATTCAACCAGGGTAAGTGTTTCATAATTTATTCTCCACACTGTGTCCACAACCTTTATCTAAATAGAAGTTAACACCACTTTGTCTTGTCGTGTAGGTCCTAATGACTGGTACATTACATGTACATCAGTTAGGGTGCGGAGTGTGACTATATTATCACCTTCGAGATCCCGCAGTACCTTTCTGCGTGGACGCTGCCGGAAGCGAGGTGCTTTGGCTAGGCAATACAAGAAAGTACTTGACTACCGTAGAACACGAAACACACCTGCGTACACAACCTGGCTCGGATCCAGCAACCCCAGTTGCGGGAAGCAATCCAGTGAACGTTCATCGTCATTTTGTGAACCAAACTGGTGATACCGTCTATGTTTATAATATTGTTATTTTAATCTCACTTTCATTGAATACTTTCTCGTGTGTTCGGTATACTTACCGACACACATTTAATCAAGGATACCTTACCGCTAAATTATTCTGTGTGAACAATTATAACCATCGAATCTGTATTCATGTGTACTGAATAAACTCAAGTGTAATATATTATAATTGTTTCATTTGTTGGCGTGAGTCTCCCAGAGCGGTAAGTGGTGGCGCCCTGAGATCCTCCTCACAGAGTCTCCTGTTCACCGGTTGTCTACCGGTGGTGACGTGTCTAGAAGTGGTGCGACTCGGCCCCGTGTCTCTCGACCCGTAGACCACCTTTTGGGGAGTGACGCGACTGGGCCTCATGTAACATCGGCATACAAGGGACACCCTTACACGTTATAACTATGATGCGAAAAGACTTTTATGATAGCTCCGAGGCCGGTAGGATACCCATTATTTGTTTTTAAATAAATACAGAACACCTAATTAGGTAGACGGTGTCGTGATATACTTATATGCTTTAATCGGCAGTCAGTAAAGTGAAAAGATTTTTGAAGTGTAACAATTACTTTTCCCCCTTCTTCTGCCGATCTGCTCTCAAATATTTATTGTAGATTGTTTTATAATCCTAGTAATACATAGATCTATTAAACCTAATAGGACTTTTTGGCGGGAACGCGAGGTGTGAAGTTGTGTGATTTGTTTTATTTGGCTAATTAGTGTTTCTTCAGGTTTAAATGTGTAATAACGATGATTTATTAATTGTTTAGTATCTGTGAAAATGCACAAATGTGGAAAAATGAAACAAAGCCACTGAACGTAGCTTCTCGGGATCTTCTAAAAAGTCTCAGTAAATGACTACCATTTTACTGAGATTATACTTCATCCCATATCATCTCATCTCATTTCATTTCATTTCGTTTTCATTTCATTTCATTCCATGTTTCATAATAATCAACATCATTTCATTTCATAATATCATTTTCATATAAAAAGCTACGTATCAATAAAATTAAAATAAGACTTGACCCAAAGGTCCTAGTTACCAGGTCATAAAATCCCTTAAAAAAAATTCAAACCTAATAATAATACACGTATGTAATTGAGCCGCGCCGTCCACTGACAGCTCGGACGCATCGCTCGCGGACCGAATACGAGCAAATAAAAATTAGTTTAGCAGTTGAACGATTTAACTAATCGTAATCAAATTATTTACAAGTTCAATTTATAATTATTAATTAAACTTGAAAGTATAGTTACAACGAGTGCCCCACCCTTCAAACCGAAACGCATTACTGCTTCACGGCAGAAATAGGCAAGGCAGTGGTACCTACCCGCGCGGACTCACAAGAGGTCCTACCACCAGTGATATCTCAAGGAGGGTGGCGCATTTACGTCGTAGATGTCTATGGGCTCCAGTAACCAATTAACACCAGGCGGGCTGTGAGCTCTTCCACCCATCTAAGCAATAAAAAAAAAGCCTCCGTTGCTGAGTCACGAGCAGGCGAGCCGACACTGCTCGAGCTAGCGTGCGTCTCATGCGTCTCGTACAATATGCGCCGCTATTTTGTTGGTGAACAACTGAGCTTGTTGATCGTGCGGCGGCGGCGTGCCGGGCGAGTGTCGGAGCGCCAGTGCTAGCGGATTGTGACCATCTAATCAGTGGCGGTAATCAGCCGCGCACGTGGTAGGTCGCAGCGCGTGCCGGGTGGGGAGGCGGGGCTCGGGTCGAT